GATGTCACAGTCTAGGCAGAGCATGGACGAAAGAATATTTCTTTGTAAATAGTATATATTGTGTTGGTCTGGTTTTATTGTAAATATTGTGTATAGTGTGTGATTTAAATGGTTTGTTTATATTCTTTCATTAATGTGTTAAATTTGTAGGAAATAAGAAGTGTGGTGTCTTCGTTGCGGTCTATCTCGCTTTGTATATTTAAAATAAAACTTAAAACATTTTTAAATAGTAAAGAGAAGCATTTAAATTTGTTTTCGTCCATTTCACCTTGTCAATTGACAATGGTCACTCATTAAAAAAAAAAAAATTATTTAATTTAAACTCAAACTACATTTAAAAATATTGAAAACAATAATTTAAATGGATCCAACAACTTAATTCTCTTAAACAATTTAAAAACCTCTTATTATGTATATCTTATTACATAAAGTGCTTTCAAGGAATGAATTGTCATTAGAATTCTTCTGTGTATTAATGTCATTACAATATTTCGAGCCGATTGGCTCATTTTCATGCTATTTATAGCTAACAAAAAACATTATTAATAATACATTATTAACAATGATGATTTGTTTTATTTAGTAACAATTTAATTTATAATGCCAATATTATTTTGAGAACTTACCAAAATTTTATCTTAAATGATTAAAGAATAAAAGTTCTGTCCTATTTCCTATTTTACTTTAATTTATTTGTAACGTCCATGAGGGAGGGCACTGACTTACAGTGCCTCAATGTTCTGGGTTCGAATCCAGCTGATGGCAGATGAATTATTTATTCTGTTTTATTGGCTGTGGATCGATCCTGGTCTTTTAATTAATTTCTATAATTGCAAAACAAAATATATGAATTAGATTTTTAAAAAATTAATTCATATTATATAATTTAGTGAAAAATAGTTTATCGTTTTTTAAATTGTATAAAAGAATTAAGGTGTTGGGTCCATTTAAATTTTTGTTATGTTTTTAATTTTTTGATAATTTATATAACTTTAAATGTAGTTTTAAGTTTAAATTAAATAAAGTTAGTTTTTTTTTAATGAGTGACCATTGTCTATTGACAAGATAAAATGGAGGAAAACAAATTTAAATTGTTTTTCATAAAAAATAAAAATTGTGATGTTTAAAAAACCAGATATGCTGAGGATAGCCAAAGGCCAAAATGTACATGTAAATTAAAATTGCTATGTAATAAAAAATTATGGGGCAAAGGATCAAAAGAATTGTTAATATATTGTTATAACTCATTGGTGTCATATCCATTCTATGCTTAGTAAAATTAATAATAAATGTCAAGGCATTTATAACTTCCATTCTTCTTTATTCTTTAAAATATTCAATCGTCCTTAATGTGTCGAGGAACTAGTCCCTGTCTTCAGAACCGTCTTGTTAATAAATTGTTTAAAATGAATTTTTTAATTTTCTAAATATATAGCAATAACATATTGATGTTATCATTACATCAATAAGTTTGTCGTTATTTAAATACATATATTATTCTTGTTACACCCCTTTTGTTATTTTATTAATGAATTAAGAACAATAAAAATAATAAGGAATAGTATCCCGAGACATTAACTGTTATTAAGCGTTTTAAAGAATATAGAAGAAAATATGGAAGTTTTAATGTCTAGCTTTGATATCCAGTGCATTTCATATATGAGTCTTTCAGTTGACTTAATGACCAAATTCATTTTCAATATTTTTAGTGATATTTCTAGTTGGAAAATTTATATCTGTACAGAGTCAGTAAACTGATTCCAGAGTAGGTGCTTGCAATGTTAAAATATAGAACTGTAAATAAAGATATAAATTTTCTAACTAGAAATATCTATAAAATTAATAATAAAAATGTTGAAATTGGAATTAGTCATTCTGTTAACTGAAAGGCTCATATTATAATATGTGAAACATAGTCAACATAAATTGAGATTAAAACTTTCAGCGATGTCCAATACCAATTAATTTGGCTTTTGTCTCTTATTGAATTTTTTCTTTCATTAATCAATATATATATATCTATATATATATATATATATATATATATATATATATATATATTTTTTTTTGATTGGGGAAAACACCCCCTATATTGCATAAATTAAAATTTATCAAATAACTAGTTAAGTGAAATATATTAAAATAAAACATGAACATGTGATTTAAAGGGTTTGTTTATATTCTTTTATTAATGTGTTAAATGTTTTGGGAATAAGAAGTTTGGTGTCATGGTTACTGTCTATCTTGCCTTGTATATTTAAAATAAAATATGACAGTCTCTTAAATCATTTTTAAATAGTAAAGAGAAACATTTACATTTGTTTTCGTCCATTTCACCTGTCAAATGACAATGGTCACTCATTAAAAAAAAAACTTTATTTGATTTAAACTCAAACTACATTTAAAATTATAAAAATATTAAAAACAATAATTTAAATGAATCCAACAACTTAATTCTCTTGGACAATTTAAAAAAAAAAAAAAACTCTTACTATGTATATCTTTTTACATAAGTGTTTTCAAAGAAAGAATTGCCATTAGAATTTTTCTGTGTATTTATGTCATTACTATATTTCGAGCCTTTATGTATCTAAAATATTTATATATATACCAATGTATAACGTAAATCAACAAAATCAAAATTTTTATATATTTATAATATCAAATAAAATTCATCAAATTAAAAAAAAAGTTCATTGTATATTTCTTACTCTATTATAGATTTGTTTTATTTTCAGGTGTTATAAGTACAGTAGTACCAGATTCGCCACATAAAATTTTTATTGGAGGTCTTCCAAACTATCTTAATGAGGACCAGGTATATCTTTATTTACATTTATATCATTATAGTTACTTGAGAGTAAAAAATCCAGGCATAACTAACTGTATCTCTTTTTTTATCATTTAATGTGTTATATTTGGCATAAGCTATTGTAATTTTTTTTCATCCATTATTATCATTTAATGTTAACCAGACTAACAGTTTATTATTGGTAGATTTTTTTTAATGGAATCTTGTGGTTGTATTTATTTAAATACTTGCCAAATTGAATCCAATGATTCTTATGGATAATTCTCAAAAAAAGTTTCATTTTCAGTGTTAGAATTTTGTGCAAGTGAACAATCTTCGAAAATTCTCCAAATTTTCATTGTTGCTTCCTGTGATCATAAAGAAGTATATGTAACATTAGATAGAGCTCAAATCATTTTTAAATTTTATTATTATTAATAATATTTTATTTTGCATTTAAAAAAAGAAACAATATTATACTGTTATATTTGATTAAGAACCAGTAAAAATGCCATTAGGTATTCTCAAAAATAAAAACATCAAAATTTTTTTGCTGAAAAAGTTTCTTTTTACACTATGGTTTCATTTACTCCGTCTTACACAACACAATTTAGATTAGGATGTTTGAGCCCCTAAGTCAAAACTTAAGAAAAGATATTTTAAAATTTCTAACTTGTTTGCCTAAATTTTTGGGGTGATTGGACTATTTTGCCCGCCTGAAGGAGAAGTGATTTAGTGAAAAATTAACGATTATATGGCTTGCCGATCAAAAACACCATCGATAAATAATATAAACTCCTCCTCTCTCGATCATAGGGGCCTCAAGTCGACGAAACGAGACATGTATTCAGCGACAGTACTACAAGGAAATGCTGAATTTTTTTGGGCCAGGGGAGAGGGCAGAGAATTAATACCAGAGTTAACAGCTCCCAGTACCTGGATACGAACTCGTAATTATTTTATCTTTCTTTTATCGGGTTGTCGGGTAACTCGTGTTTTATACAACATATTCATCCACTCTGCCCCCTCCAGTTGCTTATGTCTATCTTGGACAGTTAAGTTCATATTTTGTTACATCATTTAATAAAAAATTGATTGTTTGCCAACTCACAGACAGCTGTTAAAGAATTTCCTCTTCTCAACTTTGTTTGTTTAATTATTGCATCAATGTTTCATTGAATGAAAAAGTAACTACTTAAAAGAAATGTTATAAAAAGGATTCTCTGTTTTTTGTCAACTTTTATGAATAAAGTTAAAATAAAAGCTATGCCAGAAATGACACAATTACAAAGGAAAGTGTTGCTCAGTAAAGCCCAAATAAATTGAGGTTAGCTATGACTGGATCAGTGTTCCCTCTCTACAGCTAGGAGGCCCAGATGGAGTCACAGGTTTGCCAAGACTACTACAACACAACGATATTCCAGTTTTTTCTTTTTATTTTTTCTTCACAGGCGCGTTAATCTGCTTTCACTTATTCTTTGATACCCTTACTGCCTGATTCCTCTTTTTATTTCCTATCCTGAACCTTCTTTCCTTTTTTTTTTTTCTTTAGATCAGCTACTCCATAATAAAATTCAAGTGCTAAACACATTGATGTATTTTTTTTTTCAGGGGCAGAATTGTTTTTCCCCTCTATTTATTTATTTTTTTTTTTCACTTTTCCCCCTTCCTATTTTCAGTTTAGGTGCAGTCAACTTGAAGGAGAACCCTACCATTTATAAAAATTTTAAAAAATTTGCAGGTTTTTAAATTTTTGCAGGTTAAATTTAGCACTAGCCCTTAGTTTTATGAATATTTTTTGTAATTTAAAATTTAAAAAAATTAGTTTGGTTAACTATCTTTATTTTGATTGAATTGCATGTAATTTAAACATGTTTTATTGATTATAATTTTTTTTTTTTTAATTATTAGAAACCCTACTAATTTCTTTCCATTTTGAGAGTAAAATAAATTCAAATTTAAGTTTAGGAAGTTATTATTATGTTTTTATAAGAGAGTTGACTGACTTACGTATCTTTTTGCGTTATAGCAAGATATCATGTGTAATAAATGGGGTCACCTCGGTTGTAGCGGAGAAGCCACCATGAGGCAAGTCTCATATTTTACCATTAAGTCATTCGACATTTACAGGACCCGGTCGTGTTTTATTGCTATTCAGTCTGAATTCATAATTTATTTTTTGATGAATAGATATATTGATTTAATAGTCCATTACTATTTTATTTTCAATTTACCGTCAACTGGGACAACTTTGCCTCTCTTTTCTTCTATGGATTGCTTTGTAAACTAATTATGTACAAAAATAATTCAAATTATAATAAGCCATTAATCTTGATCTATTTTTCCGTAATACGGGAATATATATTATGTCTATACAATATGGGGTATATACAATACAATAATGAATTTTTCCTTCAGTTTTAATACGGAAGACAAAGTTGCTCTATTCCTTAGATAACTTTTCCAGAGCTGTTTTTAATTTTTTTTAACATGTAAATGTTTACACAGACACTATATATATATATATATATATATATATATATATATATATATATATATATATACTGTGTAAACATTTACATGTTAAAAAAAATTAAAAACAGCTGTGGAAAAGTTATATAAGGAATAGAGCAACTTTGTCTTCCGTTTAAAACTGATGGAAAAATTCATTATTCCAAACTTCAAAGAAAATTTTAATTAGAAAATATTTTCATGATGTCTTCTAAATTGAATTTGGTTCTTCTGGGTCCAAAAATGTGTTGAATAACACAAAGAATGCACTTCTGATGAGAGGCATACAATGATTAAAAAAAATGATTAAATGCTAAGATGGCTGAGTTGCCGATTCTCAACACGCTTTCGGGTACAATATTCTCAAGCTATATTATTTAACCTAGATTCATCATCAAATTAACTCTAAAAAGGATTTGGGAAGGAAATTATATGCTATTTGTACTTAAGCTTAAGAATAAATGAAGAAACACTTTTGATGTTTACCGAAAACTCTTATTCTCTAACTTTGAAATAATAACAATGATGAAGTCCCACAAACCAACTGATTGATGAAAAGGTATGAGAAGTTTATCATTCAATAATCTATCAGTGGATAAAAAAAAGGGATATCATAATAACAAAGGATTGATTCTGGAATTAGACCTGGCGCCAAACATTTTTTTTTTTCTTCAAAAATTGCTCCAACCGGCAAGATTGTCACAGTTGGCAGTATTAGTTTTTATTTCTTAAAACAGTATTTTTCCACAATTTTCTGTCCGATTAAAAATTGACCAAATGTCAGACTGGATAGCAAAAGGGAGTTTTCTTCATAAAACCGGTAAGTCAAAGCCTTTTTTTCTTTTAATTTTTTAGTGCAACTTTTTAGCCATCTTTGGTCAGCAAAGGGTAAGTTTATTTCATGTTATGTAATTCAAATTGTTAATTCAAAAGTTATAACATTATCTTGTATTGGTTTATTTTTTGCTTTCTGTTTTTTTTTATTTTTCTTTAAAAGTAAATTACATAATTTCTCCAAGCAAATATTTTTTTAAACTATTAATTGAAAAAGAAAATGAAAAAAAAAGAACCAAAGTACATTCTAAAAGGGGAAAACGTTTGGTGGACAGGTCAAGGAGCTTCTGATGTCATTTGGTCAACTAAGAGCTTTCAATTTGGTGAAAGATTCTGCGACTGGTTTGAGCAAGGGGTACGCATTCTGTGAATATGCTGACATCATAATGACCGATCAGGTAACAAAAGATAACCCTCTCAATCCCTCACTCATCCCATCTTGTGTGCCTAAATAAATCCAAAAGATATAAATATACATATATATAGATTATAATGAAAGATCCCAACTAATGATGAGACGTTCCACCTGCTTGCCTATGCCGAGGGTGAAAATGTGCTCTGTATTCCATAACATCATTGCTCCTTGCTACCACCTAACTTTCCTTCCTCTCATCAAATCCTTGGTAATTTATATTTATATACTAAGTATATTTTTATGTATTTATTTAGCTACATAATATATAATGTAATATATTTAAGAAGCTTAAGTTTAAATAATTTAAATTAGTGAAAATTATGCAAATAACACTGTTTTTTAAAATTATAATAACCTTTATTTAACATATATTTATAAAATTTTAAAAATGCATGAATTATAATTTAAAATTTTGTTTGAAATATTTTGTTTATTATTACATTTTTCAGTAGAATTATTGAATATGGGCTGGTGACCTAAAGTTGGGTAATCAATATAATATAAAATTTAGAATGAATTAAAAAACCAAAATGGTAAAAACTTTAAATAAATTGATTCAAAAATTGGAATTTACGATCAGCAATTTTTATTTTATCAGTTGATGGTCGGGTCAAATGTTCGTTAATCAATATTTGTTTACATGAAACCTAAGTGGCCACAATACTCGACATTTCTTTGGCAACGATGTGCAAATTAGGGTAGTAATTCTGTAAATCAAACAACCACTTAATAGGATCCTCGTTTTCATATAAAATATACTTTTCTAAGTACCTGTTTAATTCAATCATTGATAGGCACCTCAGATTCAGGTGTCCCATTTTGAGAATGTTGCTCTTGAGCTTTCATCAATTTTCCTAAGACTTCCAGTTCATTTTTTGTTTTTCCGCTGTCTCAATAATTTTTCAGTCATTTTAAATAGTTTTAGAATTTCACAGAATTTTTTGCTTCATAATTCTCTATCGTGTTTCAAGTGTTATTCAGATCATTCTGAATCTTCATAGATGGAACGAATTCCAATGGTGGAACATTCCATTCCAACCTGTAGTCGGAATTGCCATCCCTAGTCAGGTGCCTTTCACTATACATTAACGGCTCCAGGCAAATATATTTCTTCCCATGTATGAAGGTCTTCAAGTTTTGTTCGGAGTGTGTTATGCACCTGACTACTATACCAAGTTTAAATATTCATAGATGTCCATTTTCCTATCAATTTATGAAGATGTTTAAGTAGGTATGGAAGAACATTCCATTAGGGTAGATAGTGGCATTGTGAGTATATTATGCCCAACTCTGCTTGTATTCATTAATACAGTTTAATAGATTTAATACAGTTTAAATACATTTTTTGTATTACAGTAGAAAAAATTTACTTTATCTGCTTGTAAGCAATTAAGAAATTTGCATTAGGCACATGTTTCTATTTAATAAAAATCTGGGTATAATTTCTTCAATAAGTTTATTGGATTTTCTAGAGGCTGGAAGTTGAGGGAAGATTATACTAATGAGATTGAGCCTTGTACTAGGAAGGTCATTTTGCTATTCTGTACTTAACAATGTCTTCTCTCATATTTGGAAACTAGAAAATTTATGAAACTTAGTTAAAACTTATTTGTTTTACAGAATCATAGTATACCATCTTATAGAATTAAGAAAGTTTTTGCTCTTCACTATCTAATGTGAGATTTGAGGGAATGCTAAACTATAGCTATGATGTAGCTTAAGGGGTAATACAAATTATTGTGACTGATGTCAAAATTTAGTTGATCAATAAAATATATTTAACAGCAGTCTTGGAACTGTATTAATAATGATGAATTTGGGTTGTGGCAGGTTAGGGTCATCAGCCTGTATTTGATTGTTTTATTAATGATTTTAAAGTAACTTATCAATTGCTAATTATATATATAGTATTTATGCATTATTATAAAATTGTTTTAATCAATAGATTTTTGGGTAATAATATAAGATATATCTCTGAGGTTTAAATTGGCTCCACATCATTCAGAGGTATTTTAAAATCAAATTGAAATAAAAAAAATAATGTACATCTGTATCATTTAAGAAATTTGATGGATAGGCCAGCTGGTATTAACATATCCATAACATGAATTCAACTGCAATTACTGATAACTTCTACAATTTAGACTTTGTTGTTTGGAAAACATTGTTCAGAGCTTGTAATCAATAACCAATGTTCATCTGAAATAATGCTAACAAAAAGGATAAAACAACATATTTTCAATATGAAATGCAAATTATTGCATTGTTATACTGATTAAAACAGTTATGCACCTTCCTCGTATATATATAAACACGGGGTCTCGAAACACATATCAACACTTTTATCCTTCTATACTGCTTAAAGTTATGGTTGTGAAACTGCTAACAGCTTTGTTTGTAGCTGTAGTAGTAAATATTTCTCTTATTCCACTGAGAATCTCAGGAGATTAGATAGTTTTATAGAAAACAGATGTTGGGGTCTTAATAAAATTGCAGATAGCCTAACTAACTGATCCAGATAATATAAATTCAGGAACCAAGATTTATGAACATACAGAAAACTTTTTTTGAAGAATGAAAAAAAAAGTTTAAATTGGTTATGAGATTTCATTTATTTTAAAGGGAGTATAATGGAAAAGAAGGGATTTTTTGGTCTAAAAAGGTTGCATGACAATTACTGAGAGAAGAGGAATTATGAAGGATTGAAAAGCAGATTTGGAAGAATTCGGTGTAGTTTTGTGGAAAGGAAGATTAAGATTTGGTGGTTCTGCAGTATTTAGGAGATTAAAGGAGCATATTATATGTATGGAAATCTAGAAAAATGTATGCTGCACAACCTCTTCAACTCTTTGTGAAGAATGATAATTTGAATTGAGTTGAATGAAGCCAAAAGTAGCACGTATTAATCGAAGGAGTGTAAAACAAATTTTTATGACCATGTCAAGTATCCGATTAAACCACTATTAATATGCCTTGTTAATTATACATAAGCTAATTAACATAATTCTAGGTATTTACGTCAATACCAAAAATGACAAATCTGAGAAGGTTATGTGCAGAATAGCTGATTGTGTAGAAGTTCTATTCTATTACTTTAAAAAATAAACTTGGCTTCAATTTTTTAAGACCATCATCTGTCCAGTTAATAACTGGACAAATGTGTGTTGCATATTGAAAGCTTGGTTCCTTTAAACCTACGATTCTTTTCTAAATTCTTAAGATAAATCTAGAGTCCTGTACAACTTATCTTTCTTTCCTCTGTTTAGAAACCTTAAAATAAATTGAGCAAAAGAAAGAAATATTTTCACAGTAATGTTTTATTATTACTTTATAACATAAAGTGTTAATAAACTTAAATAAATTAGCATTATTCAGTTGAATGTGATAACACAGGTCAAAAGTCATATGAAAGTGTACGTCAAAACTTACTTAGTTCAATGTGCTTGTTGATTGATGTCGACAGAACATTTGGACCAAATGCCTAATGAGGAAGGCATGTAGGAGATTAGTTTTATATAACAGGGTTAGGAATTGTAGTACAAGAACACAAAATGGTGATTACTTTTGGAGATGAGCCAAAACTAGACTCTTGTTGAGTTGGAAATAAGTTGAACGTATCAATGAGGTAATTTTCAAAATTTAACAAATTATGATAAGACAACAATATTAGGATAGAATACGTCTTGCATAGGGCTTGAAAGAATGTAAGTGAAATTTTTTGTGAGTTACCTTTTTTCAGGCATACTGCTAAGTGGTATCAGTGAATATAGATGATATAATGCTTGTAATCATTTATTATAAAGTTGGTATATTATTTGCCAGTTGTGTGCATGTTAGATACTCTTTGCTACTGTAATATATAGTAACATATATATATATATATATATATATATATATATATATATATACACATGTTTACATTCACTATGTGAATATGAAGGAAATACATAGAGCATTATTCAAATTGCATTCACTTTTTACCATGGGCTCATATACTTTTAGATATAGTTGGACTAATATTTTCCTCAGAAGTTTATTTGAATTATTATTATTTCCTCAAGATAGTTAGTTATATTCACCTAAATTATTTTCATATTTAATTCAAACATAATTATCTTTTTCTGTTTTTTTTTTTCTAACTCATGTAATGAAGAGTCACTAGACTATTTCGCTTAATTTTATTATGCCCAACTGGCTTCTAATGTACCTGCAATTTTAAACTTGATCAGGGAATATGTAGGTTTTAAAGTCGTAAATTGATGCTTTAAATATGTCAAAGTAGGATATTTTATTTATAGCCAGATTTTCTTAAAATATTTTTTATTATATTGTTACAACATTGTTGATATTTTTATGTTCTAGGCGATTGCTGGTCTTAATGGTATGCAGCTTGGTGACAAGAAATTAATAGTTCAACGTGCCAGTGTTGGTGCAAAGAATACAATATTAGGCCAACAGTTACCTGTTACTATCCAAGTGCCAGGTCTCAACTTGGTGTCTGCTTCAGGCCCAGCTACTGAGGTATGAATGTTTCTATTGTTTAGTTCGAATTTCTTCTTGATTTTTTTTAGTGTCATTTAAACAGCTTAAAATTATCTAATGTTTTTTTGGACATAAAATTTTTTTTTTAACCCAACAGGACCTATCGAGCTTTCAAATTGGATAAAGTTTTGAAAATTCACAAAAAACATGCGTTAATTTTGTTTTTAATTAATTATTTGTTTTATAGATGGCATAGCTCGAATTTTTAAATTAAATATTAAAGCACACAATTTAATATAACTTTTATATAAAACATATTTCTCTAAAATTATCTTAAATACAAATTGCTAAAAATAAATTAATGTTTTGAAATTCGAAAAAACTTTATAATTTTATTTTTACTGTTTTTCTTGTTACTTTATTCTAACACATTTTTTAATAATTAATATTATCCAAATGACATACCTTTGTGTTCTTCTTAAGGATTGTTACCCTCTCAAAACTGTTTAATTTCTTCACAAAAAATTGTTTTGGACAATTAAATTATTGTATTAATATTTGTTCGTTAATACAATCAAAATAATGTAATAAAAATGTTATTATAATACTATAACTATGCAATTTTTGAGGACTAAATGATGTGCCAGAGGACTCTTGACGCCTGTGCCAGTGCAGCTTTTCCGCCAATTAGTTGTATTGTAACCCATTCAAATATTTTAAAAAATAATCAGTATTTAAGAAAGAATAATTTATTCTACAGATTTTTTATTTCCAAACGTTTATCGTTTTTGATGGCTGTTAATTTACAAATGACTCTTGATTTTCAACTATATTTAGAGCGACTTGAAAAAATGAATTTTTCTGCCAAGGCCTATTATTTTTTGATGTTGTATTATTCTATAACTATTTAGCTTTCATAAAAGATCAATTATGATGAAATTAGGCCAAATGCTGAAATCTCAGTGACAGGAAAACTAGCTCAAGTCAAAGGCGTCAATCCCCCATGTTTAGACGCCATATTAGAACAGTTCAGCCACTTTTTTTGTGGGAACATTGGCTTTTTTTTTTAATAGATAGTTACAAGGAACACAACTGTATGAAACTTGATGATGTGAGGGAAGTGTGCATGGCAGAGGGGTCTGGTCCACCGTGTAACATTCTTTTCAAAACATCTCTCGACTACCGTCCACCATTCCAGTCAATGGCTCATTATCTTCTAGGCAAACCTTCACATTCTCTGGATCAGGTTCAAAATGGAGTTACAGAATTCTTCCGTTCAAAACTGTAAGAGCACTTTTGTGAAGAAATCATCATCATTATAATCCTTTCCCTCTCTACCGCTGAAAGTGTGGGGATGTCCTCTATAGAGCTTGACTCATGTATCCCTTTCCTGTACCAGCTCTCTCCTCCTGTTCCAGTCCAGCCCTTGCTTCCTGAATGCCTCCCCCATGCCTTCTTCCCAGGTGATCCATTGTCTTGGTCTTCTACCGTCCATTCTCGTCTCATACGTTATCCTCGCCGTTCTTTCCATGTTCATCCTTAGGAGGTGCCCGAACCATCTTAAGTTTTTTCTCTTCTAGAGTGGTTTCTACCGACTGTACCTCGAGGTTTGATCTTATTGTCGTGTCGCGGATTCTATCTCTTCTGGTCTTTCCTTCAACCTTTCTTAGATACCTCATCTCCATTGTCTGGATCTGCCTCTTGTGTTTTGAGGTAAGGGTCCATGATTCGGAGGAGTAAGAGAGGATGGGCAGAAATGTTGACTTGTAGACATATATCTTTGTTTTCTTTGTCACTTCTCTTTTGTAGAGGAAACCTTTCCGGATTGAGTGGAACATTCTTCCAGCTGCTCCCAGCTTTTGCGACACCTTTCCATTGATATAGTCATTTTCGTTAATGCATGCACCCAGATATTTGATATCCTGCACCTGTTCCAGGATCCAGGTTCCAGGATGTCCTTTCAACCTCAATATTCTCATAACTCGGCGGGGACATCTACCTATTCTCATGCATTTCATCTTCTGTGGATTAATATCCATGTTAATGCTAGACAGCTCTTCTTGCATGATATTTATGTTGTATTGTAGGTCCCGGTCATCCACAGAGAATATAACGTCATCAGCAAAAGCAAGAACTCTGTAGAAAGTAGGCTGTAGACTCCTATATCCCAGTCCAAAAAGCCGCAGTCTGGGTTCAGCTCTGTTCAATGCTTGATCCAGCACCAGTATGAAAAGTAGGAGACTTAGGCTACACCCCTGCCGTATTCCCTGTGTCTTTTCAATGTCAACTTGTCTTTCAGACAGAGCTCGCTCTATATCCTTCTTTTTGACTCTGTCAAATGCCTTTTCAAGATCATCAAAGCAGACAGAAAGTTCTTTCCCTTTCTCGATGGACTTCTCTACGATCTGCCTCAAAGTGAATATCAGATCCTGTGTACTCCTCGAATTTCTGAATCCATACTGCTCCTCTCCAATCTGGCCTTCGACTACTCTTCTTATTCTTGCTTCAAGGATATTTGAATAGAGCGTACTTGGCACATTGAGCAGAGATATGCCTCGATGATTATTGCATTCTCTATTGTATCCCATCTTGTAAACAAGCACTACCACAGGAAGTGAAGAAATCTAAATGGATAAATTTTGAAAGCTCGATAGTTCGCTTCCTGTTGGGTTTAGAAAAAACTATTATATGCAACATGCTGGATAATTTTAAGTTGTTTAAGATTGAATATAACCATTTTTTTATCTATGTCACTATTTAAAGGAGATATTAAGAATAAACCAAATAAAGTTTAAAATTTCAATGGTTTTTGGAGCACTCCAGTGAACCCACTAGGCTTTCAAGAGTGGAAACTTGGATTTTTTTTATATTTACTATATACCTAACAAAAAAAAAAGAAATTTGAATTACCCGACCTTTTGCAAAGTAACGTCTAATTTGACTGGGCTACAAATGCCCTGCACATTTTAGCATTTAAGGACCGCTCACTTACCCAAGGGACTATTTTTTAAAAATTTACATTGTGTTCAACAAAAAAGCAATTTTATCGGACCAATATTTGAGGAAATAAGGATATTAAAGATTGGGTTTAATTACTGATAGTAATTTTTGCTACAAGGCTGAAAAGATTCCATTAGTGCCAGCAGATTTATATTGTATCAGGATATCATGCCCATTCTATCATGATGTTGGTTATTATTCTTATTTTATTCCACCATGTTCCTGAGTTGTATGATCTGTGATAACTGCTTCCAGTTGGCTGTAATAGAGGAAATGGTAAGTTGCTAATATAGCCACTCGATGTGTCTGTCTCTTTCTCGTTCATGGAGTTACTATAATTTATTTTGAGCATTCCTCTGTCTGGTTGCTGAGCTATATAGGCCCATGTTTTCAGAATGTTCTCTACCTCCAAACCAAACTTTTTCAAGGCTGCCTCTTGGTTCTCCTGACGAAGTTATGACACCCAGTAAGAGTTCCCTTACGGATCCTATTAAACGTTCATTGTTTACTTTAGTCTTTATTCCACCAAGAAACATTCCTGATAGAAGATTTTCATAAGTATTGTTGTTCAGATAAAAATTTCCTCAAAGTATTACTCAACGATGAAATGAGGCATTCCGATTGCCAGGTGTTGTGAAAGACCTTCGAGCAGCAACTGATTGCTTCCTCTAGGTTGGTGCAGAAGGATTTTAAATTTCTTACTTGATGATTATGATTCCCGAATTCGGCATCATATTGTCTGCTTTCAGATGTTTTGAATCATATGTATATATATCTATGATTTGAGCATGTTTTTAAATTAGAAATGTACCTATGTTCAATGGTAGTGCTGACGGTTATTAACCAATGAAATAAAATAAAAATGATCAAGAAGTTTTTTTAATTTCTGTCTTAAAAGTTAATGAAATCTAGAAGTTATTGGTAAAGGCAAAAATAAATAATATAAATTATATCAAATTTTTTTGGTATATTAAACTGAAAAAAAAAATAGGCTCAAAATCGGTGACCCTCTGAATGTATATTCTCCTTGTTAGTGTCTTAACATTACTATTATCCCTGCCAGTACTCCCCCAAAAAGACAAACTGTGACTGTTGTAGTTTTAGAGTCATACCTTCTTCAATGACGATGCTCAGAACAGTTTTGTTTAGCCAGGATCAAGAGTGTTTATCGAAGCAAGATAAGGTGCAACCATCCATCATGTAGCTTTTATATCTTATCGTCTATATTTTATTTCTGGATAGATAGTATACAACTTAATTTTTTTTTTCTTTTTTTCTAGGTACTTTGTCTATTAATTTTTTTTTTTCTTTTTTCTTAGGTACTTTGTCTATTGAATATGGTCACTCCAGATGAGCTAAGAGATGAAGAAGAATATGAAGATATCCTGGAAGATATTAGAGAAGAATGTAACAAATATGGGATTGTTAGATCTTTGGAAATTCCAAGGCCTATTGAAGGAGTCGAAGTACCAGGCTGTGGAAAAGTATGCCTATTTTTATATTACTAGTGTTCGTCCAGTGGTTGAAATTCGACCATAATCCTTAAAAATTTGAGGAAAACATAATTAAATAAATATGAATTCAATAAAAAAAAAAAGGGTGAATCCCGATTTAAAAATCCTCATTTATTATTAAAAACAAAGTTTCAATTTCAATTAAAAATCGAGCTTAAACTACTTATAATTATTTATAAGTTATACAAAATAGATTCATACAAAATGCTTAATTTTGTATGTTATTATCACAATAAATTAATGTTATAGTTAAGCAAGTAAAAAATAAATTTTAATAGCAATTTAAATTCAGCAATTAAGTCAATTTTGTTTAGTAAGTAGGCTTGCCAATTGCCATTGAGAATATAAATTTCAAACTTTTAAATCCATTACTTGGCTGTCATTCACTGTAGCTAGATAATTCATTCCCCAATTCTTTTGTCATTTATTTATGGCAGAAGTATGAAGGTGTATGATTAAATGTTTTCCAATCATTATACAATTGACTCGATAATTCAATTTTTTTAAATCTCTTTGTTTTCCTTTACTATTTGCCTCTGTGAGATGCAAATTTCGAAATAATCTCGATTAGACAATTTTTCTGTGTTTGAATGAGCCTTGGAAAACCTCATTAAGATCAAATTTAGATTCCACCACCAAAGTTTGTAGATTCCTGTATGAACCAAAGCCAAGTCTCATTGGAAGATGTTCTCCTCCCCTACTCTCTCATTATTTCTATATCTGACAACACATTCATGTTTTTTTTTCTCCTCTCCATGTTTGATTTTTTTAATGTCTCTGAAATTACAAGAAATTTATAAAATAAACAGAAATGAAAGAATCATCAAAGCTGTAGATTAAAGCATGAGGGGAAAATGTGACAATGCCAATGAAAATTGGCATATTGCACAACACTTTATCTTTAATTTTGAAAAATTATGGTAAGTATGAGGGTGGATTAGCTAGCAAATTGATTGTTTGCTGGGGACTAGAGGAGCCAATTTTATTGATCTTGATGGTGATCCATTTTTGAGTAGATGAAGCATTGATGGAACAAAATATAATATGAGGAATTGGTTGGAGGTTGCGGACAAATAAATATTATTTTTTATTTATATAAATATTATTTATTTGACTGCACCCCCCTCCCCCCGACCAACTCCTCAAAAATATTTGATGTGAGAAAGCTGTGAACTCTGCTTAAAAAATTAGTGAATGAAGGATTTTGTGCTTCAAATGGATGGCTCAAAAACTTATTTCAAAAAATTAGCAATAGTGTGTTTTTAAAATTTGACCTAATTTGTAAATATAAAAAAAGTGGATAAATAAATATTTAATATATGTAAAGATATTTTTGTTTCGCACTCGGCACTTTTTAGTACTAGTTTACTTACTTAAGCTAAATAACTTTATTTTTAAAAAACTGATAACTAATTTTTCTGCTTGTTACTGGGGTTCAAGTTATCGAGATTCTTTATAAAAAAAAATGTAACAATTGTTTTTCCTTTGACAAGCTATTCCTTTATGTGAAAAAAAGTATACATAACTCTATTCTTCTGTCTTATACCTGCAATAAACATAATTTTTCTAAAACAATGATATTATATAGACTGATATTATGTTGACTACTTCAGAAAAACATAGGAAAAATGTTATGAGTTAGTGGACTCCATACTTCTTCTACATGATTCCTTGAATGGTACCATTACAGATCTGTGTTGTTAATAAATTCCTTCAACTTCTTCTTTCATTTGCTATTAACATCATGTGTCCTTATGCATGCTAATAATTTTAGCATACTATATAGTTGTTATTCATACAAATATCATTTATATAAAATATGTTGAAAGTTTTTGGAATTGGTCCATTGCATTTCTAGGTGTCTATTGTTTATTTGTCAGGTAGTTCAGGGCTAAATTTTAAGGTTACTTTTACATCGCAGCACAAAATTTGTATGAATGTATCTTAGGATACACTAATTAATATTAGCCTAAGAGCACTTAATAATTTTTTATAATTTTCATGTATAGCCATAAAATCCAAAATGGATGGCAAAACGGCAATTTACCATTTCTAACCAATTTATTTTACTGTTAATTTTCAATTACTGCTGTAGGTTAACTCAATACACTACAAACTTAACTTGTGATATTGAATATTTAATAGTTGACCGTTGCATTATAATGGAAGGAGATGGTCCAGGGTTGCGGTCATAAATAGGCTAAATAGTGGTAAAACTAGTTCTAGCCCTGATGAAGACCTGCAAAGTCGGGTCGAAACGTCGGCTTTCAATAAAATAGTTTTAAAACTATTTATGACCGCAACCCCGGACCATCTCCTTCCTTTAACTTGTGATAGTTTTTGTATTATAAAACACACTAAAATATATTTAAATTATTTATTACTGTAGTTCATAAATCGGTTTTAATGCTGGTAGGATATGTCAGTTTTGATTTGTGTTCTGAATGTGGTTATATTTTTGTGATTATTATACACATGATTCCGATGTTATCTATGGTTTTGTAGGGAATTTCAATATTGTTTAAATAAACATATACTTGAATTTCAAAAATATTTGCGATCATTGCAACTTTTTTTCAGATTCTTTTCAGGAAGGTATCTTTCATATTAAGGTTCTTAATGGCTAACTCGGGTGTGATTCTAGACAAAAAATGTGTTCACATTTTTTATTGAATAAGAAGAAATTGCTCAACAACTGTGCAAGATAATTAAATTCTAAGTACACCATTGTAAATTAGACCAATTTGTTTTATTAGTTTATTTATTTTAAACATAATACATCAAATTTTGAATTTTTTTGATCATCAGTTACAAAGATCCATTATTGGAAATAATAAATCAAAAATATTTATCGCTATTCATATGATGAAATTCAGTATGCATCATTTATAATAAATTATACTTGCGCAAGTTTTGTAGAAAGCGTAAATAAATATTTTACTGTATTTCATTTAACATTTACACTACCCTAAGTTAGGTTTATAGTATCTTAGTAAGTTTAAAGCTGTAATGGAAAATTAACAGTAAAAAATATATGGTGTTGAAAGTGACATTTGGTCATTTTGACGGCCATTTTGGATTGTGCTTTTTATCCACCATGTAATGATAATTCTGTTAAACCACCTTACTAAAGTGGATATATAGATTTCCATATACATGGGGCGTATGATTACATATAGATATGGCTGTGTGTGTAGTATTGTATACATTCAATGCACTGTGGAAATATTATTGTACAAATAGTTGTGTGATATAAAAATAATATTAATATAATAATTAATTAGAGTGCTACCAATGGGTAGTTTCTCAACATGTGTTTCATGTCATTATATCCATGTGCGAATTTACCAGATGTATTTTTTGTATACAGTTGTAAATATCATATAAATAAATAAATAAAATATAATAATTATTTGTTAAATGTTTCAGGTGTTTGTTGAGTTTAATTCTATAATTGACTGTCAAAAGGCTCAGCAAGCTCTGACTGGTAGAAAGTTCAACAATCGGGTGGTTGTAACATCTTACTTTGATCCAGATAAATATCATCGTAGGGAATTTTAGTCATGGGACACTCCTTCATACCTCTACATTTATTACTGTTATTATTATTATTATTTTTTTTGTCTTGTTTTGTTTTCATCAAGATGTCTGTTAATGTCTTATATTGTAAGCAGAGGCTTAAAAATATTTCTGATGTAATATCAGTGCAAATAGACTTAAAATATTTATTTTATTTTGTCCGTTTTTAAGAACAAAATGTGTGTTTTTATTAAAAATATATTTTAAGGATATATGAGGTCCATTAAAGTAAATTTTTGTATTATTAATGGAAATTCTTTACCTTAGTTTTATGAACAGTAATTTTTAAGTTGTACATAATATATAATGTGTTATATAGAAATGTTTATGAATTATTATTAGCATTGGTTTTATTCAAACAGTTCTTTTGAACTGCCCCAACATATGAAATAAATGATTATGTTAAATATTAAACTAATTTTTATAATTTACATTATTTGATTTTGATTAAAACATTCATTTAATTATTATTTGACATTAGTTTATTTCTTCAGTATATATAATCTTCGTAATTATTAGTTATCACTTCTATCCAACAAAACTGTTTATCCGCTCTGAATAATAAACAAGACTTTTTACATTTTTTATTTATATTTATTGTCCTTGAGCTTTTAAGAATATTTTAGATTGTTTTGCATGAAATTCCCATCTTCGTGGAAAAACTCTTGGAGCACAAAAAGGTTTTAAAAAATCTGGTGCAGTGCGCACATCACTTAACCATAACTTACCATCCTACTTTGAGTAGTGTGATTAATGTTTTCATGGAAAGAAGTAAAAGTAAAAATTTAGACATATTATATAACAATCAATTATGTTTTTATCAAACATCCAATCTATTAAATTTATGCATTTTACTCACTGTCGATTTCCTTCTGCTGCTCTATATTTGAATTATTTATTTAATTAAAATGGTTTTACATATTTTTTTAGTCCATAAGGTTCCCATGAAAAAAAAAACTGTTTGAGAACATTGGAATAAAATATAAGTACCTAGGCAGGCAACCTTTTTTTAAAATTATTTTTATTTGTATCCTCACTTAATTGCAGAAGGTTGCTATGCACATTTTTGATGGAGCTGAACCTTTGAAAACTTTATTTTGATTTTTGACCTTATTTGTTGATGAAAAAAACAGAAAGCGCTAATATGACACAAGCCCTTTCAAATACCAATTATAGTTACAACAATGCCACAATTTTCTGATTTTAAAAAGTTAAAATTCTTATTTATATGATGATGAAATGTCAAATTTTATTTTTCTAATTGCCATTATTTATCACAAAGTAAGGTGCATTGAAATGTGAGATGCATTTATTGTAAAGTAAGATGCCATTATTTGTCACAAAGTAAGATGCATTGAGGATTTTATGAAGGATTTTGGATTGTAAGGATTGAATAGGAGAGGTGGTTTAGTAGAGCCCCAAAGCTCGATTCGGTAAGTCCAAATAGGCCTTATTATAGTCATATATATGAGTCTTTTGTAAGTAATCAGAAGCTTAGAGTGTTTGTCTAGAAAGTGCTGGAGTAGTCGAAAACATCCGAGCGGTTTCTTGTCGTTTCAGTCTGGTATGAAGATTCCCAGTGAGTCATTTGTCCAGGAGGAGTCCCAGATATCGGATTTGTTCAACAGGGATAATTTGGGTATTGTTAAAGGATACAGTAGGGAACGTGACCAGCACTAGCGAATTCTGTCAGGGGGCGCCCTTCCTTAGATGGTGAAAAAATTTCCGATAAAAAGTGATAAAACCCCTATTTAAAGAAAAGAGAAAGGTAGGAAAAATAAATCCTTATACATGAATTTCCTAAAACAAAATGAAAAGAAATTTATTATCCTGACCAGCACTAGCGAATTCTACCAGTGGGCACACCCTTGGATGGTGGAACAAAATTCTGAGAAAAAATAAAACACCTATTTAAAGAAAAGAGAAATGTAAGAAAAATATATCTTCATACACGAATTGCCTAAAGCATTAAAAAAAAATGCTATCACCAGCACTAGCAAATTCTGCGAGGGGGCGTACCCTCCCTTGGATGGTGGAACAAAATTCATTGGTCATGTATATAAGTCTTTTGTAATTAATTGAAAGTTTAGAGCGTTTGGCTAGTATGTGTTGGAGTAAGCGGAAACGTCGAACAAGTTTCTAGTTGTTTCAATCTTGTATGAGGATTCCAAGTGAACTCCTAGGTATCTGGGATTTTGAGGGGGAGGAGGGCTTAGAAGCTTAGGTGGAATGTAATGAAAGCAAGACTGGATTAGGATCTGTAGAAAGATCATCCAGGGATTTAATTGTGACATGGGAAGAGGAAATCTGGGAGGTGACAAAAATGTCCAGGATAGCAGGGTGTTTTTTGAGGGATGTTGGCAAATTGGTAGGATTCATAGGAGAGAGAATGGAGTAACTATTGGAAGTTAAGACAGAAGATAGTATGTTACCACGAGAATTTGGATGATCGACAACATGTTTAGAATTGTTGTCCCTCCTGCAATAAATCGTGATCCAAAGGATTGAAATAAGGATTCAAGTAAGTTGTAGTTAGGAGTATGGCTAGGAGGACAGTATACAGCTGGGAGTGTTAAATGGAAAGGGCGAGTTGAAATGATTACTGAGGTTGCTTGAATAGCCTCAGTTGGAGTAGAAAAAAAATGAGAGAATGGGATAAGGATGCAAGAACCGGCATGGGAAGTTCTGTCGGAGTGGTCTGATCTGTAAGTGATGTAGTCACATATACAGAAATGTGAAGTGGGCGGGGTGGTCGAACGGGCTAACGGGTTTACACAGCACCACCGTTGCTTGGCAACCTGATCTATGATACAGTGGATTTAAAATAGTAACGAATTCGCGTCCCGGTGCAGGGGGAGTCTTTTAAATCCCCGCCCACACCCTCTGGCCCGGGAAAACCCTATATAGCCTGGAAGGGGAGGAGCCTCCCCCCCCCCCCAAAAAAAAGAAATGTGAACGTTGAGTGAAGTGAGTTTCTGTCAGTAGACGGTTGTCATGATGAAAAATGTCAAGTTCGTCTCGGTGGTTTTGTAGTCCGTTAACATTCCATAAAAGAATAGCTTTGTACTCATCGTGGGAGATTAAAGGGAATCTTGGAAAGAATTCTTGTCAGGAGGGTGATTAGTGGCTTGATAGTCTCTTGTAGATGTTTCAGGAAGGACGCAAGCGTGGAGTTTATTAAGTCGATCGGGTTTTGTTGGTCAGATTGGTTTTGATCAGGGGTTCGTGAGGGATAGCTCGTATGATAAGGAGTGTCTGATGAAGGATGTACCCGTCGTGATGTACGAAGGGCTGAATCATTATTAGATGAAACTCGGGAAGAAGAGTAAACGTGAGGAGTAAGATGGTAATGAACTGCGGTAGGATGTTCAGGGGGTAATTTTACACGTAGAGGTGAATAGGAGGCATTTGCTGACGTGGAGATTTTGATTGAATGTGGGAGATGTGAGTCTTGAATAGGGAGGTCTTAGGTTTGGAAGTCTGAGCTGAGCTGAGCAAGCGGCTGCTGATTCTTCACCGTGGTGTCTGAATATAGTTGCCTGGAGTATTGATGGCGATGATCTGTTGATGTAAAAGGCTTTTGTTTCAATTGTGGTACTATTTCGTTCAATAATTCAGGAAAATCGCCAAATTTAGAAGTTCGGGTGCCTGTAGCTTGGTTGGATTCTTCTGTTCTTGGTTTTTTAATGGTATATTATAAGTTCTTTGCTTATATATCATCTTATAAACAATGTAGCGCCGAAAGCTATCAGGGTGGTCCTCACTACAAAGGGCACATTTTGCTGGTTCATTCAAGGTTTGTGGCAGGTGTCAGAGGCATGAGGGCCGTCCCATTTGATACACCTCGCCGAATGATGGCAGTAGGCCTTTGCATGTCCTAAGTTTCGACAATTGGTCCATTGCACGACTATAGGTTTCTGCTTCGGCACTACAAATTTTACAAAAGAATACAGATGTCTTTTAACATCGAAGATTTCGGAATTATTGCAAGCTGGTTCTAGGTCGATGAAAAATAATGGCAGTGGGTATTTGTCAATTGGATGTAAAACATAAAATATATGTCTTACATTTGGGCCGATATCTCAAGGTCATTTTTATAGTGGTAGTGGAAGTGGTTGAGTGAAGACCTGTCAAAACCATCCGCTAGCGGATCCAGGATTTAATTGTGGGGGAGGCTTCAGCCCGGAAGCTTTTTTTTCATATATATATATATATATATATATATATATATATATGGGGAGTGGGGTTGCTCAGTGGTAGGGCACTGAGCTTCCAATGCAAAGGTCCCAGGTTCGAACTCCGGCTCATAGCAGAAAATTTATTTATCTGTTTCATTGGCCGTGGGGCGACCCTGGGTTGAGAGACCCTCCTTGGGGCACACCCAGCCTCTATAAAGTGGGTACCCTTAATTAAATAATTAGTTAAGGGAGAAAACCTGGCGGTTGAGCGTGATCTCGGTCAAATCACCTCCTTGCACAACCGTTGACCTAGAAACAGTGCTTTCCCTAAATAGTACTGAACCCCAGACCCCTCATGGGTTGTAATGGTACAGGTTTATATATATATATATATATATATATATATATATATATATATATATATATATATAACGATAATTACATTGAAAAAACTGAAAGATAATAACTACCTATATGAAATGGTGTTCAAATGATTCTTGAAGTCCTATTAAATGTAATGAAACGAGCAATGATACTTTAAGAGATGATTTTTAAATATTTTTTACCATAAAACATGGTTACATTTTACCATTTTTTGGGGAGGAAGGGGCTTCAGCCCGAAAGCCCCACCCGTAAATCCGCCTGTGAAACCACCCTATATGTTTTTTCTTCTTTTAGTTTATAACAGTGGAAGTCATAATTGTGTGCTGTCGAGTGATTAATAAGTTATTTATAGTCATCATGCTGTTAATCTTTATGTCGTTGACGAGAAAAAAACACCGTAAGTTGGTCTGTCCAATCAGATTAGCTATTTCTTGTCCAATCAGATTAGGTATTTCTTGACCAAACTGGATAAAGTTATCAATTTCGCTTACATACATCGGTGGTAGCATGAGTCAACACATGAAAAGCACCCTGGTGACAGAGCGTAGCAAAGTAATTCTCTACAAGACTTATCAGACCGGTTTTAAGTTATGCATCAGAGACCTGGACGATAACCAAGGCAGCCGAGCAGGACTTTCTAATATTTGAACGAAAGATTCTAAGAAGAATTTATGGTCCAGTATGTCTGAATGGAGAATGGAGAAGGAGGAAAAATCAAGATCTCTACCAGCGTTTTAATGAGGCCAATATTGTCAACTGTATAAGAGCAGACCGTCTCAGATGGGTAGGTCATGTGGCCAGAATGAGAGGCGACATGATCCGAAAGAAGGTGTTGGTTGAAATCCTGCATGTAGCGCGACGACTAGGAAGAAAAAATTCCAAAAAAAGTTTCAAAAAGTAGCTATTTATAGTATATTTATAGCTATTATTATAGTGACCAGCATTAGCGAATTTTGCCAGAGGGCCCGCCCTCCTCGAGGGAAAAAAAATCCCGAAAATAGTGACAAAAACCTCTATTTAAAGAAAAGAGAAATTCATCCTCATAGATGAATTTCCGAATGTAATATAAACATAAATTATTATAATGATGTAGAGATGGTTGACCGTTGATATAATATGAGAAGGAGTTAATCGGGGGGGTGCGGTCAAGTAAATACTAAATAAAAATATAGTAATTATTTTAATAAAACGTCGGCAAAAATTAAATAATTACTATATTTTAATTTAGTATTTATTTGACCGCACCCCACGATTAACTCCTCATAAATTATTATAGTGACCAGCATTAGCGAATTTTGCCAGGGGGCATGCCCTCCTATGGATGCTTGGTAAAAATTCACGAAAATAGTGACAAAAACCCCTATTTAAAGAAAAGAGAAATGTAGGGAAAATTCATCCTCTTACATGAATTTCCTAATGTAATATAAAAATATATATATTATAGTGACCAGCACTAGCGAATTCTACCAGGGGGCACACCCTTGGATGGTGGAACAAAATTCTGAGAAAAAATAAAACACCTATTTAAAGAAAAGAGAAATGTAAGAAAAATATATCCTCATACCATATATTTCATATCTCTAAAAAATTCATAAAAATCGGATAAACGGTAGTAGGTGATATTCCCGTTACGTCGATTTGACTACAGACAGATACTATACCAAATTTGATCCTTGATATCTGAAACGTAAATCGTATGTGGAAATTTTCGATTCGGACATTTTTTTTTTAACCAATTGCACGAATATAATGCATACACTTTAATAAAACAAACTCTAAAAAATTGCTTAACCAAAATAGAAAATAAATGGAATTCTATACTATTCACCTGTCAACAAATACCCACTAATTACGCGTGGCAGACACGACTTAAAATGTCACCTTTCTGACCATTTTTTCACTTTTGAAGTCTAGTGTAATGTTTAGTCTATTTATATTTGAAAAAAAAAAACAACTGAAATTCCAAATTCAAGGACATACCACTCATGCAATTTCGAGGTGTTTACTAATAATATATACATATATATATATATATATATATATATATATATATATATATATATATATATATATATATATATATATATATATATATATATAAGGTCATATGTGAAAATTTCGTTTTTTTACAAGAATAATAAAAACTGATCATTTCTTCTTCTTCTTAATCAATTCCTCTTCTACCGTTAGACCATTGTAGAGGTTCCTGTTTATAGAGCCTGATCCATTTATCTCGTACTGATCATTTCTTTACGATTTATCAGTATTATTTCATAATTTATTTCTCTCTACTAGTTTCTATTGTAGCAGACTGCTAAGAGCAGTTGAAGACTACAAAATGTGATCTGTAGTACAAATAGAATAAGAATAAAAATTGTTCCATACGACCTTTTGCACTAACAGTAGTGACATGTGGAATTATAATATTTCTCCATAGGGGTGCCACCTTTAAATATATATTTTGAATCAGCCATTAAATATTAGAGATCTGTTTACTTTAAAATGTTATATATTAATAACTATTTATTGACATTAGTTATCTAAAAAAAATTAATTTTTATATAATGCTGATAAATTATTAGTTGAGTTCCTATTCTTTCTGTTAAAAATGATAGATCCCGATAAGTACAACCCTGTTGTTTTGGCTCCCGGTAGGTACTATTGAAACCACGTGTTTGAATCAGTAAGGTTTCATTTTCTCTCATCTGATTAGTTTACTATTGTATTTTTTCGCCATGAAGACTCCTAAAGTTGCTACTCCTAAACCTAAGCTCAAGTTTAATACACCTAAAAGTGGCATTGTCAGAAAATCACTGGGTAATAATTCGACTGCATCGTTAAAAAAATTATCGACTAAAGGTAAGGAACACATGCTTTCTGTAGTCAAAGATAATGAAGCGAATGTTGAATTTAAAAATAAAACTCCAAAGAAGGGGAGAATGTCGTTACCAGCTAATGTATTAAGAAATTCTAAACCCAGTCCTGAGAATCGCAGTGATGAAAAAACACTTAAAAAATCTCCCAACACCAAGAAATTAGGAAATCCTGAATCGCCTAAGTCTGGTAAGAAAAATAAAGAGGCAAATAAAACTCCAGCTAAACATACTCCTGTATCCAAGCCTCAAAATTTGAAGAAAACACCACAGAACAAAAATGTTCCAGAGAATTTGTTCACCCCAGCTTCTGTTGAAAACAATACCTCTCCAGTCAAACAAAATGTTGAATTGAAGAAAAACAAAGTGCCATTTAATTTAGATGACTCTTTAGCCACTCAAACTCCTAATGGACTTGGACAGAAAAAAAGAAGTAGTTCAATTAAAGCAAAACCTAATAGTCCTGAAGTGGAGTTAGGATTGCAGTTGGAAGAAGCACTTAGCCCCAAATCCAAAAAAGAAAAGAAAAAGAAAATGTCCTTAGCTTTGAAAGTAGCTGCTGAAGGAAAGGTCACAGTAAATCAAAAGGTTGTTAAAAAATTGGACACTACTAGTAATACTGTTGTGAACTCAGATTCAAAAAAGAAAAAGAGAAGGAGAAATCGCAAGTCGAACCAAAAGAAAGTTGAACAGACCAACCTAAAGAAAGTAGAACCTAAGCCCTCATTCTTAAAACATATTAATGTAAGTGAAAAGATACTATTATAAATTCTTTAGTAAATATGATATCGAACTAATACTTTTTCTCTCATTAATGTAGGTGATGAATGCGATTACTGCACTTCTAAAGTCATCTAAATCTCAAAAGGCTGATCTTCTCTCTGGAGATGATTACATCTTTTTGCAGTTCAGTTTGTTTAAAGTTTCCAAGGATGCCAAAGGTGTTTATAAAGTGTAAGTGATAATAAATTTGATCAGCTTTATGTAATATGGTATGTTATAGACCAGAGGTCTTCAAACTACCGGCCGCAGATTGGATGCGTCCTGAAAGTACGTTCTATCTGGCCCATGAAAGTTCCTTAGGTCATATCTTAAAATTTGAAAAAAAATAACATGTAATCTGGCAAATTACTTAAACACAAAGTTATTGCATGAGTTTTCTCTTAAAAAGCTTATTTCACAGCGGAAGCGCCATTTATAGAACAAGATTTTTTTTTCATCACAAGCCATGGCCCGTAGGATTTAGGCGGTAGTCTCCATCTGGTCAGTAGAACTTAATCGAGGTTTTAATGTGGCCCGCGGGCCGAAAAATTTGGAAACCCCTGGTATAGGCAATGGAATATTCTGGTCAGTTTTATTTTTAATAATCTTTAAGTGCTGCTTGTATGAAATAACATTAAGGCTTAATTATTTTGAAAGATTTTTTTTTATGAAGGCTGTTCCGATTCTATTTTATAAGTGTTGCTCCATTTTAATGGGTGGGCCAAGAGCTCATCACATTATAAATGGAATTCTGTGAATGATAACAGTTTAGGACTTAGCAAACTTCCAACTGGTTCTTTTCAGTTAGGACTAATTAGATTGTTGCTTTCATATTCTATTTGCTCAAAAGAGATATAAAACGACCAATGGGTCCTTATCTGTTGAGGTGGGGACCGCATCAGACAGTTTAGTCTCCTCCATCTACTTACCTCTAATATACTTTGCCATTCTTGAAATTCCAATTATATTTTGATCATGAGATCTTGCGTTTCCTAGCAAGATGGAGCAACACTTGTACGTTAGTATCTCTTTTTCAGAATAATTTAAAAATTTATCTCTTGATTTTTTTTTAATCAAAACACTGTTGCTGTTCAGTAATCATCTTGCTGAAGATTTTAATAATGTATCACTGAGTGTAAATGAAAAAATCTGGTGCGTGCAACACACAACTTTCACTTAGCGCTCTACTTTGAATAGAAATTATTTTCTGGCAATGCTGGGCTAATATAAAATTTTGTGAAGTGCATTTTAAACGGAGCTGAAGCTTAAAGCTTACAGATAACAAATCATTAACACCATTACAATTACAAAATGTCTATTTAATATATTGACGGCAGACAATAAAGTCACTCCATCTGCTTTTATAAACCACACAACTTTCTTTGCTTTTATAAACCACAGAATGACTAACTCCAATTTCAAAATTTTTGAGTAATGTTATTTTAGTGATATTTTTAGTTGAAAAAGCTATCTATGCAGACAGTGAGTAATAAGTTGATTCTGGAGATGGTGACTGCAGTGTTGAAATATAGAACTATGAATAAGGTATAAATTTAGGTACTTATTTCTTATGAAAGATGTTCTTAGGAAAGATACTTTATTAAATATCTGTAGAAAAAAGGTTTTTTAAGTCTCAAAAATTAAAAAAGTATATTTTAAATTTATCCATATTTTCACCTCTAGGAATAAATTCTGTTTTACAATATATTTTGAATTTTCATATGAAAAAAAAAATATAAAAAAATTCTTTCAGAAGACTTACTATTAGACATTACCACTTTTGTACAACAAATAATAACATTATAAAATGAATATTAACCAGTCAAAAATATGTATTTATATAAAAAACGCTGCAAATTATTTCACAATGGTTTATTATTTCCAAACAATTATACATCTAAAGTAACATTACCTTTCTAGTTAAAAATAAAAAAGAATAAAAGGTGTTTCCAATTAATGGACTAAACTTTTTTTTTAAACACTAGTAATATGCAAAAACAATTAGCATTACCTAAGTAGCACATTCAAAATTCAAAAACCAAAACAAAAGATATAACCTTTGCAGCAGAACATATTAAAAAAAAAAAAAAAAACTACTGACCATATCATTTCTCCTAATTGCCCGATTTAATGATTTTTTTTTTTTGGAAATTCAGTAAAGTTTTAAAAAAGCATATACAATATCAACAAAAAAGTGTATACTTTTGAGTTATTCGGAATTTAATTTTACCATCCCTTGTAACTTTTTTTCCAGCTTCTTTTCGTTGAAGTATGTTATATAGATAAATTTAAAGGGTGTCTAGAAAATGACTTTAGCGAAGTTTCATTGAAATCAGTACATTCATTTAGGTGCTACAGTCTATAGCAAGGCAAGTTTTTCTGCATTTTTATTTTTTTTCTCCTTTATTAACTTATCAAATTCTTTCAAAAGTTATATTTAGCATTTTTTCGTAACTCTGAATAATGTGAAATGATTAAATTTTCAAAATAAACCATATTAAAGGTACATTAGAGAAAGACATATATGAACATTGGGAATTTAAGCCCTGTAAAGTGACATCAATGAGGATAAGACCTAATTGATATTAAAGATTACTTCATTATACAATGATACACCGAATTTAATCAAAATTGTTAAAGCCGTTTTGAGAAAATTATAAAAATGTGTTTCAGCGTTGGTATAAAGTGGCACTTCCGGTTACCCAATTTTGAGGAAAAAGTTGCTGTCACATCTAAGGCATATACCTATCTTAAATATGTAATATCAGTTTCCTACGACTTTTTGTTTTTGAGCCAGATTGCTAACATACAAACACACAGACGCACATACCATTTTTCGGAACTTGGTCATTTCGACCCAGGGTGCCTCAAAACGTGTATTTCCGTTGAAAACTCAGATTCAAAAATGTTCTCGATCGCAATACTTACCCTTACTGTATATTACATATATACGCAAGTGAAAGTAAAAATATGGAGTGTCAGGTGATGATGCTCTATGAGGCTTTGAGTGAGAATAATATTAATTTAGACTGATATACTCTAGTGAGAACTCTCACACAATGTAGGTATGCTTCTCTCGAATGTATTCAACATATAAGCAAAATCATCAAAATTGTTTACGAGGGTACTTATACAAATAAAAATACCCACAATGAAATATAAATAAATATAGAGTCTATAATTTTTACTTTCACTTCGCTTTGTCTGAAAATATTTATTTCTGCTAAGAAATTGGTAAGTGAAAGTTGTGTGATGCGCACCAGATTTTTTTAATCAATAATCATTTTGTAATATTTTCAGTGCGCTACCTCATTGCATTCTTCCTGATTCACCTGAAGTTTGCTTGGTGGTACCTGATCTAAAAGGTAAACGAAATGAACCAGAAGAAGCAATTGATCATTATAAAGAATTGTTGAAAAATAATGACATTACTTCAATTACAGAGGTAAATTTACTTAGTTTATTTTTTGTTATTTGGCAATGATTACTTCCAACTAACAACAATTGAATTTATTTGTTGTATTATCAAAATTGCATGTTTACAAGTTTACGTTTCGGGATATTTACTTCCATCTTCAGAACCACAATCCCAATGATCTTGTGGATACATGGCTTAAAACTAATGTGCTCCATCATCAGTTTCTAATTCATGTTATAATAAATCTAGGTACATAACATCTAGAGCAACATCTTGCTTTTAGACTAATTATTGGGTGTCTACCCTTATATCACACAACTTCCCAGAAAAAAGAAGGAGTACTTAGTTTATATTTGTTTATGATTATTGTTATGTTGAGGGATTGGGAATCCTTTGTCTGCTAATACATTGATATAACCCTATACCGTTGGTGGACTCAAATATGAGTCATGAGGGAACCTGGCTCAGGCGACAGTGGACTCATATATGAGTCGAGCTGAGAACATAGTATTGTATTATATTAGGTCATCAAATAATTATTTATTTTTACAGGTTGATTACTTTTTTTTTTTATTTAGTTATGTTTTAACCTCTGATATACGTGTGTGCCAAATTTTGTACCTTGTGCACAATAGTTGCATCACAAAATTTTTAATGGACTATAGCACCAAAATGGCTCTACAATTTGTATGAAACTTATCAAAAGTCCTTTTCTTAAACATGTTTGTTTAACTATACATGAACATAGTACATCTCCCAGAAAAAAAAGAGGAAAAATTATAGAAAAAAAAAATGTATTTATGTTAACTCAAAAGTTAACATTAATAAGTTTTGGAATAATCCTTTCAGGACTAATCTTATATTAAATTTTTTTGAATGTTTTGTTGATCTGGAATTGTCTCCAAACCTTTTGTCTTACAGTTCACAATGAGTGAGACCTCCACGAGGTATTTTGGGTGAAAACGTGTAAAAATAAAAAAGCAGACACAAGCCATATTACTTTGACAGCCAAAAAAACCTCTATTTTTAAGACTTTCTTGTTTTGTCTATAACCCCTGAATAGTTCATTCAAGCAGAAAAGTTGCATATTAAAAAATTAAAGAATGTTAAATTTTGCATCAAATTAGCACCATATCTTTATTTGGTTAAGCGGTATGATCAACTAATGATGATGTTTTCTAACTTTGTCCAAAACTGAAATATATTTCGATAAATGACTGCAGTTATGAAATAAACTTTCTTAGAGAAAAAACTCATGCAATGAAAGTTGTTATTGATTTACTAAAATTCATATTTGGTAAAAATTGTACCTTGTAATCAAAGAAATTTTAATGAAGAGGACCCCTGGTCTAGCTTTCCACAAATACTATGTAAGTGGTTTTTAGAATCCTGTTAAGAGTTAGTTCAGCTCCAGTCCAATGAGACTTTCCAATGAGGCTTCATTGTTGAAGAATGAGCACATTCCTAAAAAAAAGTCAGGAAAAAAGTTTTGAAAAAAAAGAGAAACTTAATATTTTTATATTTCAAAATGTTTAACATTTAAGGTTGATAGTACATTTAATATTTTGAAACCATTTTAAATTCCCTTTTATGAAAAAAAATTTGGTGCGCCCAACACAACTTTCACTTACTGCTCTACTTCAAAAATTAATTCTTGTCTAGCAAAACTAGGTTATTACCAGGATGTTTTGAAGTGCATTTTTAGTGGAGCTAAACCTTGAACAATATATTTTTGAATTTTGGTCATATTCATCAATATCAAAACTCATTAAGACCATCAAAATAATATAAACCCTATTTATTAAATCCATTGTAGGCAATAAAAACTTTATAACTGCATTAGTCTATTTGAATCACATAACTCCAGTCTCTGAGCTCTATAGACAAAGAGAGATTTGTAAGTACATGTATTTAATTTTGAATAAGTAAGGTAATACTGTAAAATGAAGATTATAGGAATTAAATCTCTATCACTTTTTAAATGTATTTAAATTCTTATATTTTTTTTGTCACTCAACATTACCTTGTACGAATTTGTCTGTTAGATATTTTTTCCCTAAAATTCTCAGCTTTCCAACGATATACATATACATATTATACGTATACATTCAGTCTATTTCAAGAAATTCATTTTCAACCTAAAAACAGATTTTTACTTTTTTCTCTTTTAGCCAATTGACAAATTCTTTCATACTTTATATTCAGCCATTTTTTATTTTTAATGATGATATGAGACAGTTAATTTTTGAAAATAAACCAAATTCAAGGTACTTTAGAGGAAGACTTATTGAATATTATGCATTTAAGCCCTGTAAGGTGACATCAGTATGGATAAGACATAGCTGATCTTAAAGAGCACTTAATAATAATACACTGATATTCTGAGTTTAATCAAAATCGCTTGAGCCATTTTTGAGAAAATCGTAAAAATGTGTAACATCATAGATATAAAGTGGCCCTTCTGGTTAGCCAATTTCCAGGAAAAAGTTGCTGAAACATCCAACAGATATACCTATCTGCTATCCTATTATCCTATTATCCTAATATCCTAAATACCTATTATCAGTTTCTTACGACTTTTCGTTTTTGAGCTAGACTGTTAACATCTACATACACAGACCATTTTGTGGGACTTTGTTATTTCGACTCAGGAGACCTCAAAACATGTACTTCCGTTGAAATCTGAAGTTCAAAAATGTTCACGATATCAATACTTTCCCTTACTATATATTACATATATAGGTAAGTAAAAGTAAAAATAACATTAAGTTAGACCAAGAGTTTCCAAACAATAGCCCGTGGGCCGGATCCAGCAGGCAATCACCTTTGATCTGGCCCATGAAAGATTCTTTGATAGCATGGTGAAATTTTAAAAAGTATAACCAAATATAAAAGTTAGAAAATTACTCACATATGATGTTAATACAACATTTATTGCATGGGTGTTTTTCCCTTAGGAAGCTCATTTCACAGCTGAAGTGTCGAGATTTTTTACAATAGAATAAGATTTTTTTTTATCACAAACCGTGGTCTTTGGCCCATGGGACTTGGGTTAGATCTTATTATGTCCCACCGGCCAAAAAGTTGAAAATAACAAAGTGAGTCTAGTTCAGGCTGGTAGACCTTATATAATATGCGATTTAAGGATATCAAAATTTAAATTAATTGATTTTAAAGATATATCTTTAGTAAATTATAAGGCAAGGTATTTATCTTTATTATTATTAAATTAAATTATTTTAAACAAGCATGTCTGTAAATAAGATTATATAGGTTATTGTTGATGGTTATAGAAATAATAACCCAAACGTATTAACTCACTGCTGCCAAAATCCCGTTTGGCAGCAATGCCAGGTAGGGAGAAAAAAAGATTATAGAAATGTTCTGAAGATGGGGACTAACACCAGATGTTATAAATGTGGCATCTTATCCAATTTGAATATATGTAACATTTGTTCATATGTTTTGGTTTTACTTTCAATGATAAGCTATTTTAATGAACAGAAAAAAAAAATTAATTTTTCCCACTTATAATATGTTACATTTTCTTATTACTATTTTATATTAATATTTGTTCACTATTGTGGGAATTATTCGCATGACCTAACTAGTTAATGGATATTTATTATTCTTGTTTATTTATTTCAGATAATTCCTGTAAGAAAACTTAAGCAAGAATATTCTCAGTTTGAAGAAAGTCGTAGATTAGCAAACAGATTCGATTGCATTATTAGTGATGGTAGAATAACACATATTGCCAAACTTGGAAAAAGATTTGCCAGAGCTAAGAAGTAAAGAAGTAATTATTATTATCATTATTATTAATTTTTAATTTATATAAATTAATATATATATTTTTTTAAGGTGTATTTGTCCGATAAAATTTAATTCTAAAACATTGAAAGAAGACATCGCCAGAGGTTTAAGGAAGGTTGCTATTTTTAGTTCTGGCAGAGGAACAAGTTTTTCTGTTAAGGTAGATATTTTATATTTAACATTTTATGAAAATCATGTTATTGAAAAATATTATTGAACAAATATCCATTTCTGTTTTCTGTTTTACTTGTTTAATATGCATATAATTTTATTCAGTTAAGGCTTACTAATTTAAACTAAAAATAACAACACATGTAGACAAATTAATCCGAATCATAATTATCCTAGAACAGATGCTAGAATGAAATCTACGATGTTTCATTTCTTCCCGATGACCTTTTGTAAAAACCTGTAATTTAAAAACAGCAAAGTGTGATGTAAGGAACGATAAGTTACAGTGAAGGTTATAGAGATTATGTTATTACTGAAAAAACATAATGAAGAAATGCTCAATAAAAGTTGTTCATGTAAATATAGAATGTATAAAGTGTTTTGCGCATAGACTATCAATTAGCTTTATTAATAGGCTAAAATTAATTTTTCTCAGACGGTTTGGATTATATTTAAAAATTTTCAATAAGTGGCAGGCACTTCCAGCCCAGCGCTACTGGACAATTGCCTGAGTTCCTCTGTCCTGAGCCTAGCACTGCTTAACATGGAATTAGATCATTATTAACTAAGTTATGAGTGTTAATAAAATAAATTTGATTGCTTTTACCTAATACCTGTTTTTCAAAGTAACTAAAAAGCTATAAGTTGGAAATAATGGCTCTAAAAAATTATTTGTCAGAAATACGATCAAAAAAGTTACATAGAGCTTTACATAAAAAAAGTTTCATTAAATTACATCTTTGTCTTAGATCTGCTAATCAACAGAAAACATAATGTTCATAGGTAAAAAAATACGCAGTTTTTTTTCCCAAAAATTATTAGTTTTTGTTCTTACTGATTTTTGCAGTGTGGTTGTCGATATACCAGTTGGTTCATGCAAATAATTCGCATAGAATATTGATCAGTGAACAATTGACAATATAATATAAAAATAAGTTAATGTAAAGTCCGGTTTCGATGATTTTTGTTTTGCAAGAAATTTAGTAAACTTTCAAATAATCATCGGTTTAATAATGAAAAAGAAATATACTTTTTGAGTTATTCGCAATTTAAGTTTTTTTTCCTTTATAACTTTTTTTTGTATTTGAGATTCTTTTGAGGTGTGAAATACAAATCTCAACTCTGTTTCTCCTTAAAAAAATTATTTGAACATACTTTCTTCCTTCAGTTGGTACAAATTACAAATTTCTAATAGAGTTCAATGATTTTTTTTTTTTTGGTTTTGTCGGAAATTTAGTAATCTTCCAATTAATCAACAAATGTTTCTTTTCTTCCATAACTTTTTTTGTGAAATTTCAGGTGGATAGGACTATAGTTCTTCACTGTTCCATGAAATCTCCTTTTTTTTGATACCTTATTCATCAAAATTCTACGATCCTGTTACTATTTGTTGGACTAAGAAGTTTATTTTTAATAAAGATCAGGATGACTTCTGTCTTCTTGTGCAAGTTTCAGTTCAGAGATTGAAAATTTGTCTTCAAACAGCTCGCTTTATAAAGCATTCAGACAGATTAGTTTCTGTGTTCTCACAGAGTGATTTAGAAAGTTTTGTGGGAATTTGTATTGCTCCTGTAATTATTTTACTATTAAAAATTAAGAGATTTGATTTCTAATCCAATTCATTGTTTAATTTTGAAAGAAATTTATGTGTCTTTCATCAGCTCTGTAACTTAGATTTGAGAGAAATCCTCTTGTAGTTTCTTGTTCATTGAAGTATTTCAACATTTCTTTTAATAGGATTGAATAGTTTTATTATTTTATTTTGCTTGTGGTAGCCTCTTTCTGGCTTTTCATCTTTGTTTGTTTTGATGTCTAGGCGCAAAACATCCAGGTCACCAGCGCATCTTTAGTTTGTTCTTCCATTTTATCTTTCTAAATAATAATTTCCTTTGTTCTTTAGTCCTTGTCAAATCTCATTTTAAAATTTACTGCTGAGTATTGTTATGAGCCATTCTGTTCTTTTTTCAGTATTAAACTGCAGTTCCAGGCAGGGTATACATATCTCAGAATACCCACAACTATTCATTTTTGTTGTGTTTTTGAGGTATCAGAAAGTGAAGCCTCGTCACTTTACCAAGGCTTTCCAAGGCTAGTAGTACACGTGATGGATAATGTTGATATCTATTCCAGATCTTACACAAAAATAAATTATCTCGTTTCGATGTATTCTCATTTTTTGAGTCATATTGATTGGGTATAATACTTAACTTATTAAAAACAAATACATCAAGTTTAAATAATTAATTATTCTGATCTTCATCCACATCTTCTGTTCTAAATTTCTTAGAATTAACATTTTTATTCCTTTTGTTACTCAAATAGGTTAAATCCTATATATTATTTCTAAAAGGTGTTTTTTTGTCGTTACGCCATAACTTCGTCATTTCTTCATGAAATCCAATGATTGGCCACTCATTTTGTAGATATTCTCCTCCTTCACATGCGAAAAATATTCCCATCCTCCCGAAATTTCTGGAAAAAAAGTTATGGAGGAAAAAATCCTTTATTTGCAGCTCGAAAGATCCTCGAATACGAATTTTCATTGCGATTGAAATTTTTTTTTTCTACAAATTTGACCTAAGGCCCTTTGATTTTATTTTGAAAATCACAAAAAGTGTTATAACTTCAATATTCTTCCACATATTCACACGAAATTTGGCTGGGATATAGGGCTTTATAAACTACACGAAATGACACAAACTGTGCCTTCCTAAATAATTTAGAACTCAAGTTATAAAATAAAAACCTGTTAGGAGTTTTTATTTATTTACTCTGTATAGACCTGTTAAATCAAGAAGTTATTTGTATGGTCTTCTTGAAGTGTTAAATCAAGAAGTTATTTGTATGGTCTTGAAGAGCGATAACTCAGCTTTCCAATGGTTGTAGAAACATTGAATTAGGATAAAATCCTAAGGAGTTATGAATGTTTCAGTTAACGGCAGGTAAAAACATCTAAATGAAAAGTGAAGTCGTTGCCATGACGACTATCTCAGCACAGCTCTTATATCCTATATATTATTTCTAAAAGATGTTTTTTTGTCGGTACACCATAACTTCGTCAATTCTTCATGAAATCCAATGATTGGCCATTCATTTTGTAGATATTCTTCTCATTCGCGAAATATAGTCCTATCTCCCCGAAATTTCTGGAAAAAATGTTATGGAGGAAAAGAAACTTTATTTGCGAATAACTCATAGAGTATACATTTTTTTCTTAATTTTATCCATGATAATTAGAAAGGTTACTAAATTACCTATAAAACAAAAAAAAAATCGTTAAAATCGGATAATTATTAACAAAGATACAGTAAATTAGTTTTGGTATACTTAATAATGTCTTCCTGTTTAAAGTTATTGCATTTAGTTGTAGAATAGTCTACTAATTTTTTTTTTCTGGGTTTTATATTAACTTTATTTTTTCTTAAAGACATTTGGTTGTTCTTACATTTTATTTTTTTTTAATAATTAAAAATATCCTATGTTCGGGGCATTATTTTGTCTGTATTACTTCTATTATTTTTCCAATCCGCGTTTAAAAATAGGTCCTAGCAAAGCAATTTGTACAAATATTTTGGTCTATTATGTTTAATAGAATATTGTAATTTACTAAGGAAAAAATATTAATTCCTTCCTTACATAATACATAGGATCTATTTATTTCCATATTGTTTTGCTATTTCTTCACTAAGCAAAATTTTCTTCAAATTTTTCGCATGGGCCAACTAGTCATCAAATATTAATAAAAAAATTAAATCCTTAGTTCTGACTTTGTCATTCATAATCTGAGTCTAAAATCCCAAGCTGTCGGTCAGTAAGTTGTGTACATCATTTTAAATTGATATAATTAATATAAACTAAATTTTAAAAATAGTAGTTAAGATGTATAATTATAATTGTGTTGAGTGTAATGTCCATTTCATGTAATGTTAAGCAAACAATGGCTTCTTTATTGTTTTTTTAACATTTAAATCTACTTTACTCAGCATTCTGCAAACTCTCTTATCTATAAGACTCATACTCAGCTTGAAATCTTTCTTGTATTTTTAGAGTATTTCATAGTCATTCAGAATAGTGATTAGAGAGCAATTACACAATGAGGTTTTAGATAGACTCTTCAAGTGAACTTTTTAGGAATTTTAAAGAAGGTTTCATTCTAAAATGGTCTGGAAAATTCTTTCAAAAATACCAAATGCAGCTTATACATGTTATTACTGATTAGAAAGAAGATAATGACTTTGTCTTAGAATGAAATTATTTTTCCATTCTAAATCGGTTATTATCGGATTAGCAAAATGATTAAAAGATCTTGTTTAAATTTCTGATGAATCTAATATCTTGATTCCTAAAAGTTTTTGATCAATTTATAATTTATCAATGTATACTATTTACGATTTCTAAAAGTGCTTACAAATTATGTGAAAAACTTACATTTTTTCATTTAATAGATTTTTAATTTTATTTAAAATTACACATTATTTAGGTTAGGTTATTTTGATTCCTTTCCATGAAAAATAACTAAAAAAAGCTTTTTCTCTAACAATATTGTGTTTTTGTCATATATATGCAACTATGTTTGTTAGTGTGGACGAAGGGGAATGTCAGCTGGAGATATTGCTGATAACATTGTGGCTATTGGTGAATTCCTTGCAAATAATGAAACACTGATTGGTGAACCTTTAAACATTAGCTTAGCTGCTATCAAGACATCCCTGTCCAGTGCTTTTCCAGTATATGTTTCTGCAGGTGAGTTGTGGAATACGTCAATAACTTAACATAATCAAACATATGTAAAATACTTCAGATTTATTCTGTTATTGATGTTCTTCTAAGTATAACTTATTATCTTGAGAATTCAATCATTAAAAAAATTATTAAAATTTCTTTGGTAATACTAAAAGTATTTTTTTTCTAATGCAAAACTACATATTAATATCAAGCCAAAACTTTTTGTTAATCTTTGTAGTATAAAGTCCTAAAAGGTTAACCAAAAGTTAAAATACATATCTCAGTAATTAGCGATATAACAGCTTCTGAACATTGAGCACATATTTTGCTTTGCTTAATCTGTCGTACAGATGTATTATGTTATCAGAGCTTTTCTTTTCTTTGTACTCACAAAAAAAAAAAAAAATATATATATATAAATAGGCGAGTATTAATTATTCTATAATTCCAATCATAGAATGCATTATCAGGCAGTGTTTTTTATTACACCATTATTGCTAATAGATTGAAAAAAAAGTTGATATTAAGTTGAGGTTTAGTGAAATAAAAATCATAATTTTGTTGTTATACCAATGCTAAAAAAATGAGATATTTTTGCTCGAGTAAATTGGGTTTTAAAAATGTTATTTTTTATTTATTTTTACATACCTTCCAAAAACTATATAAAAAACCTTCCTGTGTATTGTGATTTATTAAAAAAAAAAATATCATAATTTTATTCTTACTAGTTTTTGCCCAGTAGTTGACATTTGACCTTATTTATTATTGAAGAATTGAGGAAAACATATATCTCTCTATTAAATGAAAAGTTTTTAGTGACTTTTATATTTTATTTTAGTATTAGGAGAGGAGGAGATTACAGGGGCTCTCCTATTAGCTCTATAATTAGCACTAATTATACAGCTGTTCATTTAATTATATATGTGTTGAGCTCTTACTATCCTAATACTAAATAGAGATTTACATCCTGGTTTCTTTGTTACAGTATTGAGCTCCTGTAACCTCGTGCTCTCCTAATTCAAAATAAAGATTTTAGACCAAAAATTTGTATGGAAAATAGTATTCTCATCTAGAAGTGGTAGTTTGATTTTATCTAGGTGACAGGAGTTATTTTTTTATCTTGATATTTTCCTGTTGAATACAATATATTAATTATTATATTGTATATAATATTATTTATATTATATTATGATATAATTATAATTATTATGAAATAGAAAAGGAAACACAATATAATGTTCAATGAAAATATTAGAAATAAAAAGCTTAAATTGATGTTAGGCTTATATGAAGCTGGACAAGTTGAATATATATTATAGTTACAAATTGGCGGTAAGAATACTTATAATTACATAATAATATAAATTGGCAATAAGGCGTGATGTTTAATTAGATTTTTAAAGAAGTTAAACATTTTTCTGAACTGTGGTTACGTTCAGATTATTTTATGTTGATAAAAATAATACAATCTGAACTACAGATCACATGTAAATTATACAGAGTGATGACCGACCTGAAAAATCTGTAATAATGGGGAAAGTCAGGGAATTTTCAAAATAAGAAAAAATTGTTAATCAGGGAATTTTTTTAGTACGTAGTACGTTTATAATGATCTTGAAGGTGTAAACTTTGTTTACTCAAATCATTTTGTAATCAATTTTCTTTCATGTATAATAAATAAAATAAATTTAGTTATAAATAATACATTTTTAATATTTGTGTCCCCAGACACATTAGTCAAGGATAACTTTCTTAAAATAAGGAAAAGTGAGGGAATGTTACTTTAACTGTCTGGTAGCCACTTTATTACAGTTATACAATTTGAGCAATGAGTAGTAATATTAAATGAGCAGTTCTATAATTTTTAAAATGGGGATTGGTCCACCGTTAGATGGACAGGGGGTACCCTCTAGTATGTTATTTTGTTATGAATATCTTCTGATATTTTAAAAATAATTTAATTTGATAATGATATTTCTTGTCCTTTTTTCGAGCACCAAATATTCTGATATTTTAAAAATAATAAGAATTTTGAATTTAGTTTTATAAAATTTTATTGGGAGAATTTATATTGGTGCTGATGGCTAATTGGTTCAGTAACTGTGAATTATTTGGGATCTAATAATCAACATTGTTTCATTTAATCATATATTTAAAATTGGAAACAAAATACATTCTCTTATACACTGGTAGCTGATCATGCATGATTTATGCTGTACAACTCTTCGAGTAAGATGTATCTTGGTCTATGGCCTGATGAAGACTGGGAAGTGGCGTTTGGGTCATCTGCACTACTATTCCTCATATTTTAATGTATTATTAACTGTGGGAAATTCAAATTTAAATTCCAGATTAATAAAATCACAGCAATATATTTTCATGTATTCCAACATTTTTATTTTCTAATCTTATATATCTGTTCATACTGAACTGTTTTGTATTTATATTATATTTATATAGATTTATTTATATAATATATATTTTTTATTTTACCTATTTATATGTAGATTCTGGTGGGATGCTAATTTTATGACAGTGAAAACTACTTCACTTTTTATTAAAATTAAAACCTGTGATTCACTAAATCATTCATAACTCCTTAGCATTTGCACCTAATTCAACTGTTGGAAAACTGAGTTATTATTCTTCCTAACCATATCAACTTTTAGATTAAACATCTTCGAAAGGAATAAATTGAGAAAAACTCCTCACACATGTTAATTTTATGTCTCCAGTACTAATATGTTTATGGGGTTGGGTTTGTTATATTTCATGTAATTTAGGTGGCCCTGAATTCCTGATAATTTTTTTGTGGATAAGTGAAGTCATGTTGAAGTTATCACACTTTTTGTTATTCCTAACTAAATGTGAAGGCTGGAGCCTAGGTGAAAATTTGAAACAAAAAAAATTTATTTTTCTATTACTATGAAAATTGGTTTTTTAAGGTTGGTCTTTCGAGGTGTGCAATACAAATCTCAAAATGGTTTTTGCCTTCACACTTGGCTCCTTCGATAGGTATAGATTGTTTCATTTCAACATTGTTTGTACTCATACTATAGCTATATGTTAAATATATATTTGTTATAATAAAGCTCTCCTAAATAAATAAACAAAAAAGTTTACATATAATTTTTTTTTTAAAATGCTAATCTTATCGGACATCATTTTTGATGTTTGTTTTTAAAATTTTTTTTTAAGAATTAAGGAAGCTTCGTGTACTCATGGATATAATGGACCGAAAATTGTGTACTTCTGGAGTTATTCGCAAATAAAATTCTGAATCCATTTTTTTTTTAAAGCATTTTTTCGGGACATTATATTATATACATAAATCAGAAGGACTTCAAATAGAAAACTTAAGCCAATTTTCATTAAAATAATTATAGTTGTTTTGGTGCTGGTTTATAGCAGCACACTGTTTTGGCCACCATTTATAAACGAAAGGCTGGATGTAAATGATATGTACATAGAAACTCTCCTGAATTAGATTGCAATAATATATCATAATTTCAAAGTAATCGGTGAAGAACTTTTGGAGGAAAACAGTTTTAAACAAACTAACATTTACATATCTATAGTGTATATATTTATGTACACAGTTTCCAATTTTTTTTTTATTGATAACCTTAAAGCTCGTCAATAGGTACTAAACAGAACATAAAAAAAAAAAAGAAAAGAAAATCTGTTAAAAAACCGAGAAAAAAAAGGTTCTGAACTGTTTTGTCAACTCCTATTTATATATAGATTCTACGTATGCTTAGTGAAGTGTTATCATTATTATAGTGATATTTTTATACTTTCTGTTTTGATATTTTTTTTCTAGCTACTCCTAATGATGTACGTAAACCTAAAGGTAAACAAAGAGAGATTGAAGAGCCAGTTGAAGATGAAATTTCGACTGTTCAAGATGGTACTGTTGTTGTTTATCCTTCTGGCAATGTAAAAGTAAAGAAACGCAAGAATGTAAGTAATATATGCAATTTAACTTTTTGTTAGTTTTTAATTCATTACCTGAGAGCCAATCTATTTCTATCCACTTTTAGATAAAAGTAGATAAAAGTATCAACAAACATGTTGATTCCATTGAAGATTTTAAAATAATTGTTTCTGTGGAGGTTCATAAGATATTGATAGTTAAGCTATTCTAAATGCATTGTTGAATGTGGGCCCACAGTTATAAGTCCATTTCTATGAATATGTCTGCAATATTCTATGCTGACTATATTATACGTTTTGTTCTATTGGGGTAAGAGTTGGCAATGGAATGATCTTGCTTTTAGAAATGGGCAGTTGTGACCTTAGAATAATGGAGGACAAATATAATACCCTAATAACTGAAGGTTTACCTTTAAAGAATATCTAAAGCTGTAATAAATATGCAGATCACAAAATCAAAGTTAAATTTAGTGAGACATAATCTTTACACAGGGTGTTTTAGGGTTAAGTGGCCAAACTGCAAAAATGAACTAAGGACCTCAAAAACAAGAAAATTTCCTCTGAAGGTATGTCCACAAACGCTTTGTTTAGGAGATAATCATACCTAAAGATTTTCTTTGTTATGAATCATTTATGTTATATGAAATAAATAAAACCTGTTTATTTGTTCTAACTACTTTATTAATTAAATGTAAACATCACATTCATGTGAAATGTTGTTCATATTAAATTACCACAGTTAGAAAATTAATTTAATGTCCTAGAGAAACATTAGGCAGGCAACATTATAAATTAAGATTAAACATGATTTGAAGTTAATATGTACAAAGCTTTATGGAAAGAAAGTTATTATGTGACTTAACAACTAAATGAAAGAAGTTTATGACAAGGATTAATGTCTGCAGATAATCCTGATATTTTAAAGAGGATTATAAAAAAAACATAACTAATATTGCATGTAATTGGTGTCAATATATAATAATGCGTGCACTTGGTGTCAGAGCTGGAAGTAGCCTGGTCAGTTACTGTCATTAAAAGAGTTAAATTCACAGACCTCTTTGTGAAGTTAGGTAAAACAGATAGTGATTCTGCTGTCGCTTAAAGAATGTTAAGTGCCTCTTAGAGATGTGTGTGTCCTTGCGGCAATATGATGAGATAAATGTAAACATCGCAATTACTTTGAGACACATTTGAGAGTCAATAATTTGAAGACTATCACTATAAGAGCGAAGCCATCTTGTTCTTATAACTGTAGCTCACAGATTGGTGATATTAATAAAATTTAGGGGATGTCTCTACCATAAATGAATTTCTCTTAACATGATGTCCTCTGAAAGAGAGGAAATAAGTCACACTGCCCAGTGTGAATAGAGAATCTAGATTGAATTTTTCTCATAAAAATTATAGCTAGATTCCAGAAATTCCTTTGGAAATGAGGACATCTGATGCAAACAAGGTTGCATAACAAAAATACAAGCTGTTATAATATATGTGAAATTGATAGATAAACAGTTTTATAAAATCAAAGGAATATACTAAATAATTTTCCTATTAATTCATATTAAAAGATGTTGGCCACTTCAGGCAACAATATAACTAAATTAACTTTTAAGGAGTTGATGGTTTGCTTTGACAGCTTAAAACAAACTTACATGTATCTATAGTTGTATATTCAGGCATGTTTTCTAATCTAAACATTCATTTTGAGGGTTTACTGCAAAAAGTGATTAAGTGACATTTCATAACCTCAAATAATTAAGAACTTTGATAAATTTTCCCTTTGTGAAATCAGAAAATTTCACTTAGTAGAAAAGTTCACTTAGTGTAACTGTATATCATAAATAAAAGAGTGTGTGTCATTTTCATGCACTTACAGTGTATATTTATAGATAAATAAGAGCAAAATTCACAAAAATATATTTGAAAGTTAACCTATATCAATAATGCACTTAGTGACATTTTGCAATATACCGACGAGTTATATAAAAAAGAAAAGTAGGGCAGATTGATATGTGCAATTTTCATAAATAATAATTATTTATTATTAGTTAAACAAATATATAAATTTAGCAGGCTTGAAATTTGTCGTCTGCAAAGTTTTGCTATAAGCAAATCTGTACACATTTTCAAATAAGGGTTAAGTTATCTCTTGGACACCGCCTTAAAAGTTGTCTGGATCGGTTGTATGGGTTTGAGGTAGAAATAAGTGTTTAGGCTAATGGGTTAATCTTGTAAGCCAGCCTCTGGTAAAAGTTTTGATAGTATTGTTTCGCATTGTTCAGGGGGCGATTTTGCTGAGTGGGCTAACTTGTTTACAAAACAATAATATTTTTCTCAAAACTTTCGATTGAAAAATTGGAATTTGTGGAATCTGCATAGAAGGAAAATCATTTCCGGGAGTAGGACAACTCAAATACCTCAGCTCCACAATAATCTCAATGAATGAGCTATGGGCAGAAATATACCAGCTTATAACTAGCGCAAACAGAGTTTTTTCTCCCTTTCAAAGGTATTAAAATCCCGAAAAATCTCAAGAAATCTAAAATCAAGGGTGTACAATACTATAAATCCAGTTTTAATATATGGCTGAGAGACCTGGACACTAACGAGCACTCAACAGAAAAGTGTTGAAAGTTTTGAGATAAAAATCCTCCTCACAATAACTGGAGAGGATCAGAGTACTAACACGTGGAGAAGAAAAATCATTAAAGAACTGCTTACAGAAACTGGTCAGTCAATACCCTATGATATGAAGGCAAGGAGGTTAAGATGGGTAGGTATTGTAGCTCCTAGCAATCCATCTTGAAGCCTTTACGGAATAATGAGTGCCTTAATAGAAGGCAAAAGACCACATCGAAGGCCAAAAAGCAGATGGATAGATAGAATCAACAAAGATGCATTAAAGCTGCTTGCAGATAAATGGAAAGAAATGGTCCAAAGCAGGCAGAGATGGAGCAAGCCTCTCCTTAACTCACCTAAACCTTTAGGACATCACTCCATTGTCGGTGCAGACTTAAACGCCAAGCATTAAGAATGGGGTTCAAGAACCACAAATTTTCGTGGTAGGTCCTTGCTACCTACACTCAATTCCCAAAGTTTCAGCCTTCTTCCTCCCAACTTCAACAGACAATTTCCCCCCAACCTACTGCCCAACTGATTCTAACCGCAATCCTGATATCCTCGATTTTTTTCATCCACAGCGGTTTAGGTCCCCTCAATCTGACTTGATGAACTTTCTTCAGATCATAGTCCATTAATACTCCAATTATCTCTAGCTCCTATACCTGAACCTTCTCCACCATCCTTCATCAGAGGCCTAGTTAACTGGAAACTTTCATCAGATTCTTTCCACCAGATAAAATTAACCTCAGAATAACCTTGAAAACCCCAGAAGATCTTGACAATGCCATACATTCCTTCACCACCACCATTCCTTCACCACCACCATTCAACAAGCAGTATGGACAGCTTCCTCTTCAAATTATTCCTCAAGAACCTCTAAGAAAAATAGTTAACTCCAACACCTCATAGACCTAATTCACGCCAAACGCCGTGCCAGATTATTATGGCAATGTACCAAACATCCCATCGATCACCACTCCTACAATTTTTATTGTAAACTATTAAAGCAAGAATTATCATCCTTCAGATCCCAATCCTTTGATTCCTACTTTACTTCTCTCTCTCTGTTCATGACAATTCCCTCTGGAAAACCACCAAAAAATCCTAAAATCCCATCATATTCCCTCCCCCCCAGGTTGATGCGATGGCTTCTGGGCAACGTCTGATGAAGACAAAGCTGAGAAATTTGCCAGAAACCTCTCCAGTACATTCACTCCTCATCCAGAATCCCATCCAACCCATACTGTCACATAAAGCAGTTAATCCAACTGAGGTCAAATACCTTTTACAAAATATCACTCCTCGTAAATCTCCTGGATACGACCTACTAACCCCACAGGTCCTTCAACAACTTCCACCCAAAGCTATCATATTCCTTACATATATCTATAGATGCATCTTAAGAACTATCCACTTTCCTCTCCATTGGACATATTCTACTATCGTCCTTTTCTTGACAATTACCAACAATACATCATTCTGTAGACCAATTAGTCTACTCCCGATCCTATCAAACATTTTTGAAAAGATCCTACTGAAAAGAATCCTTCCCATAATAGAATCTCATAAAATTCATACCCATCAATTCAGATTTTGTTCTCAACATTCCACTGTCCAAAAACAACAGTTGTTGACCATATATCCTCAGCCCTAGAAAAAAAGCAATATTGTTCAGGTGCATTTCTGGACACAGTTCAGGCTTTTGACCGGGTCTGGCACGCCGGACTGCTCTTCAAGCTTAAATTCCATCTACCACTGTCCTTTAATCTAATATTCCGATCCTACCTCTCTGATCGCTCCTTTCAAATTCGCTGTGGTACTGAATTCTCCGACTGTTATTTAATTAAGGTGGGAGTTCCGCAGGGCAGTATCTTGGGTCCCATCCTTTACATTCTTTTCACCGCAGATATTCCTGTCCATCCTAATACCCTCTTCACGACATTCGCTGATGATACCGCTATCATTTCAACCAACTCAGATCCTTTAACAACGTCATTAAACCTACAAATGCACCTATCTCTGATTGAACACTGGTGTAAGAAATGGCGTATTAAGATAAATGAATCCAAATGTAAACACATTAACTTCACCCTTTGTTATAAATCCTGTCCACCAGTTTATTTTAACACCATTCAGCTTCATTTCTCAGATACAGTCCGATATCTTGGCTTTCTCTTAGATAGATGACTAACGTGGAACCTCCATACTAGATGTAAAAGACATGAACTTGACTGACAATATGGCCAACTATGCAGACTACTAAACAGAAAATCTTTCTAAAAAAAACAAGCAATCAAACATAAAAAAACTTTCTACTGAAAACAAGTTACTGATCTACAAGACAGTACTTAAACCTATTTGGATTTACGGACTGAAGCTGTGGGGGACAGCAAAATTTTCTAACATCAAACACATCCAATCCTTCCAGTCCAAAGTCCTTCGAACGATAGTCGAATCGCCTTTGCTTCTAATCAACACTACATCATGTCCTCAACATCCCATTTGTTCTTGACCTTATCCCAGAAAAATTCTCCAAATTTTACCAGAACCTTACTTATCATCCAAATCCTCTTGCACAATCCCTATCAAGCACCACCCATCCCTATAATTTTCCAAGAAGGTTGAAACAGTAGTGGCCTCGTGATCTTTTGTAGATTGTATATATTGGAGTTCTGGCAATTGCCTTAAACTTTACGAGACGCCGTCAGGCGTTTTTGAGAAACTGGTTCTTACAATAGAAGGCCCGGTTCTGGACGGCCTAGGGTAACAGAACCACGGGGTGACCTGTTTTTGACTTTGAGTATTTTATGAAACCGGCACCTTACCGTTGTTCAAGCTATTCATCAGCTCGAAGAAGTTCGAGGTATACAAATTTCTGAACGTACCGCTCGGAGAAGATTAAATGAGTATGGATTAATGGCTTTTCGTCCAGTAAGAGGACCAGAGTTGACCAGAACTCACAGAGTAACACGGCTGGCTTTTGCTCGAGAACACAGCTATTGGACTATGGATGAATGGAGTGCTGTACTTTTTACAGATGAGTCAAGATTCGCTCTTCGATCTCCAGACGGGCCTGAAAGGGTGTGGAGAAGAAGAAACGAAAGATTTGCAGCCTATAATTTTTCCCAAAGCCAACCTTTCCAACGTGGTTTCTCAATGGTTTGGGCTGGGATTTCAATTCAGCGCCACACAGAATTGGTTGTTGTTCGTGAAGGGTCTTTGACGGCCATTCGCTATGTAGATGAGATTTTGGAACCTCATGTGTTGCCTATCCTCAACGAAATCGGCGATCATTCAATTCTAATGCATGATAATGCATGCCCACATGTCGCCCTTCATAGTGCAGACGTTCCTTCGACATAACAATATTGAGGTTTTAGCCTGGCCAGCACGTTCTCCAAATTTGAACCCCATTGAGCATTTATGGGATAACCTCGGAAGACGAATAAGAGCGCGTGCAACACTTCCTGATACACTGCAGGACCTTGAAAGGGTTCTTCGGGAGGAATGGGCTATCCTCCAGCAAAGGGACATTTCCCGACTGGTGGAAAGTATGCCGAGGCGTCTTCAAGAAGTAGTGAAGGCAAGAGGAGGAAACATGCGCTACTAAACGATGATGTAATTAGTTTCTTTTAGAATAATAATGGTTCCTTTTTCAATTTTTTTTTTCTCTAATCTTTCTTACCCAATCACATTTTGATTATTAAAGGTAAAAAAGATTAAAAAATTCCATAAATACTAAGTATTATCTACAAATACCATGTATTATATACAAATACAACTTTACAGAAATATTTTTAGATGAAAACATGGAAAAATCAAGTGGGTGGAATTTTTTGCCTGTCAGTGTATATGAAATGGTCCTTGATAACTTACTATTCATAATATCAATATATACATTTTTTTTACTTAACTTTTATTTCCTCAGGCACTGGATTTAATGTGATGTTGGATCATAGTATAATTGTATGTGTATGTATTTCATAAAGTTTTTACATTTCAGGAGGAAAGTAAAGATGATGCAGATTTAAAACAAAAAGGTATTAAAAAGAGTAAAACAAATGTGTCTAAGAAAGTCAAAGTTGAAACTGATTCTTCTGATGATGATGATATTGATGACGATAGTGATGTCGACATAGATTCATCAAATGATGATGACTTAGCTGTTGATTCCTTGAATGGAACAGATGATGAGGCAAGTGATGATGAATCTGAAGTTGAAGGTGAAGATGAAGAAGAAGAAGAAGAAGAAGAAGATGATGATGATGATGATGATGACAGGTCCATAGATGAAGGAGAAATAGAAGCTGCTGAAAAGGCTTACCTAGAAGAGTTGAGGATTTTACAGGAAGAAATTGGGAAAAAAAAGGTATTCTTTCTTTTTAATTACTGTTTCATTTTGAGGAGGAGCTCTAAATTTTTTTTTTTTTTTATAAATATTTCTTCATTTATTCTAGGCTAAGAAATCAAGCAAAACTGCAAATGTAGTAGAAAAGAAGGAAGATAAGGTTACACAACAGGTTTGTATTTGTTTACAAATTGATGATATATCTTATTATATATTTGTTTATCTTTTTATCTAGATAATTTATTTGCAATACTTTAGTGACTATTATATTTTTGTTGAATGCATAGAAAAAAAGTACAGCAGTAAAAGGTGAAAAAAAACTGAAGAAAGGGTTACAAAAAGAACAAAATGTAAGAATTGTGTTTTTATCAATACATAAATTTCCATGTTTTTTTTTAGATCAATTAATGGTTTAATCATATTGAATGTAATCCTTTTTTTTTTTTTTTGTAGCAGACTAAGAAAGGTGCTTTAAAAGAGCAAGATACTAACACGAAAGGAAAGAAGGCCGATAAGCTAGTAAGTTGTGTTTTTATTATTCTTTGATTAAAATTAAGTTGTTATTTATCATTGATTTGGAAAAAGGAAGTTATTCTTCTTAATATAATTTATTTTTCCACCCCAAAGGACCAGGTGAGATCACCATACCATCTCTTGCATATACCATATTCCATATACACCATACCATATTCTGTAGTTGAAGACTGACTTATAGTTTTTAATAGTTTTCACTATTATAGTTTTAAATAGTTTTCACTATTTAATTCATCTATAAGTATAGATTCGTGACAACTGACATCAATGTGAATATGTGATCAATGCATCCCCTGCCCGTTCTAAAACCAGCCTGTTCCTCCGGTATTAATTTTTCTAATTCAGCCCATTTCATGATTCTGTTCCTTAGAATGCTAGTGAATAACTTTGCTAGAGTATTAAGTAAGGATATGCCTCTGTAGTTGTTCGGATCCTTTTTATCTCCTTTCTTATACAGAAGACGCAAGTTAGATTCTGCCCACATTCCTGGAATTTGTTCAGAATTCAATACGTTATTAAATTAATTTAATATGTAGTGCTCCCAAGAGGGGTTGAGACATTTAACAACTTCATAAGTTATATTATCAGGTCCTGGAGATTTACGTTTTTTACAGGTACCTATGCTTTGTTGCAGTTCTTCCAATGATATATTGATATCCAAGAGTGGATGAGTTATGGAGAAAAAGTATGTTTCATGTATCGTTTTTTGGCCGTATAGATTCGTGTAATATTGAAACCAATCGTTTAGACTTATTTCGTTATTTTGATTGTGAAATGGTCTCAACATATTCACCGTCTTCCAAAACTCTCCACTGTCCATTTAACTGAATCAAAATTCATTTAAGTTAAATGAATGATTTTGTTAATGTTCAGAGGAAATGAAGTTCTTCCCCTTGCTTAATTGTTTTTGGACTTGAATTATTTTTCCTCTGACTGCCTATTTTTTTTTTATTGAAAAACAAAATGCAAATCAGATGTTTAGATTTGTTATTCTTCCAGAAACATTGAGACTGTTTGATTTGGATTTATCTGATTTACAAGGCATCACAATTGAAAAAAATTAATTTTACTGTTTTTTTTTCTCTGATCTCTTCTTATAATTATTTGTTTTGTGTGATAAACTGCTTTCTATGGAATTAACTCTAATTTGCTTAAAAATTTGTTCCTGCACTTTATTCGTAGTATCTCCAAACGGAAAGTATGATTTCAGTTTCCAGGTTGATGTTTATGGTTATTGCACCATAAAAAATTGATAAATTTTATAATTGCTAAACCTTCCACAGATCATAAAGATGATTTAGTTTAGATATGTTAAATAGTTTTTGTGGTTAGTGAGTACAAATCAAAGTACGGATTGTCTTTTAATATAATAGCAATGATAATGCGACATATAATTTGTTAATTTTTTTTTAATTTTCCAGATTCAACAAAAAGGAAATCGAAACCAAAATCAAAAGGAAAATAAATTTGGTTCCCCACAGGTTGGTTTTTTAAAATATTTTTTTCTATTATTTTTCTATTGCATTTCTAATATTTTTTCTCTCTTTTAGCTCTAAGATTTACTTATTAGAACCTTATTTCTTATTACTTAATTATTACTTCTGCTATTAGAACCTTATTGTTCAATTAGTACCTATTAGCACAGGCGGATTTATGGGGGGGGGGAGGGCTTTCGGGCTGAAGCCCCCCCAAAACGGTGAAATGTAACCATGTTTTATAGAAAAAAATATTAAAAACTATCTCTTAAAGTATTATTGTTCATATAATTACATTTAATAGGCTTCCAAGAATCACTTAAACACCATTTCATACAGGTAGTTCATTTCTTTCTTATTTTTTTCTTAAATTAATTATCGTTATATACATAAAAAAAAATCTTTCGGGCTGAAGCCCCTCCCAAAATTAAATCCTGAATCCACTAGTACCTGTTAGGGATCTGTGATATCTTTGCTAAACCTTCTGCAGAATATAAAGATGATTTAGTTAATATAGGTTAAGGAGTTTTTGTGGTTAGTGAGTACAAACCAAAGTATGGATTATCCTTTAATATAATAGTAATGATAATGCGCGATATATAATTTGTTATTTGTTTTTTAATTTTCCAGACTCAACAGAAAGGAAATCGAAACCAAAATCAGAAGGAAAATAAATTTGGTTCCCCACAGGTTGGTTTTTTAAAATAATTTTTTCTCTCTTTTAGCTTTAAGATTTACTTATTAGAAACTTATTTCTTTTTACTAGCTTTATTAGAAACTTATTAGTACCTATTAGAGATCTGTGATATCTTTGTATTATTGCTAATCGATTGGGTTTTATTTCTTCTACAAAATTTCATGCAACTACTGTGACATTAAATATTTTACATCCTGATGGCGATTAAACGACGTACTTCAATTTTTTCCTGTTTTCCTTTGTTCATCAATCTTTTATTAAATGAATATTTTATTTAGTTTATAGTTCTATGTGATAAGGATTTATAAGTATAGACACTTACATTGTATTTTGGTAATTGACGGGTTAAATAAAACAGCTGTTGAATATGTTTTAAGAAATGGATGACTACTGTAGATGTGTATATATGATCAAGGCTATGTTTATTTTAGAGCATAAAATCAAAGATAATATTGAAGTCATCTCATCTCATACAAAATTGATTGCATACGCAAACGCATTTTCTTCTAAGACAGATTATCTATGCATATAAATACATTTTCTCATTGCATGTGCACTCAACTAATAATTTATGGTGTTCTCTTATGTACATCATTTTTAGTTAATGCAGTATTTATGCAAATAGTTAATTTTTGTTTAATCTCTTATTACATTATCACAGAAATATTATATTATCAGAAATATTAGGTATTAATAAATCACATAGCATTCTCTATGAGACAAGTGAATCAAAGATAAGGTTCGGCAGCACAATTCAAACGAATCATAGACTGTGAGCAAATATGTTTCTTGTCTCTTTTCCTTAGAATCCGTTTTTTTTATTTTCTTATCAGTACCATTTTGTAATGTAAAATTTTATTTAATGAACTATTTGTTAACTTTCTTTCAGAACCAACAAAAGGGGAAAATTCAACACTTTGGTCAGGGGAAAGGACCTAATAAGGTATTATATCTTTCTTATATATATTTACTCTTTAGCAATCGATACACTCGTATGACTATATTTAATTTTTTTTTAGAAGAATGCTCAGAAGGGAGGAAGTCCAAAGCAGGGTAAAAAACAGTTTAAGAAGGTAAGTAACATATTTTATGTTTATTATTTATAGTTGCGACAAATCTATTTATTAGCTACAATTTTTTCATCTTATCTTAATTTTTTGTTGAAATAATACTAATATAAAAATAATATTTTATTAATATAATTCTAATAAATAATAATATAATACTAATATAAAAATAATATTTTTACTGTGAATTACCTATATATGTTATATCGTCGGCACCTTGCTGAAATAATAAATGTGAAAAATCACATATTTCAATTATGTTTGTTTATTATAGTTCTCCAAGGTCCACCTTGTGGAAAATGGTCAAATCTGAACGGTCGCCGAAAGAGCAGGACCAGTTATATCATTTTCATGAATTTATAGCTTTTTTAGAAATGTGCATGTAGAAACGGATAATCATAATCGAAAATTTACATTAAGCTGGTCCTCACATTCATTACTTTAACATGATGGCGACGATATATAGTAAGGGAAGTTATTGTTATCGTGAAAGTTTTAGAATTTCAGTTTTAATGAAAATACATGTTTTAAGGTTCCCTGGGTCCAAATAACCAAGTATCGTCAAATAGTTTGTGTTTATGTGTGGATGTTTGTGTACATGTGAACAACTTACCTCTAAAGAAAATATTGAGCCGTTTGGCGTGACCACCCCCAAATTTTCAAAATAATGAGGTTATATAGGACAAACGCCCCAATAGTTTTGTAAGCCACCTTTTTTATCGATTTTGTGATCAAATTATATTACGATCCAAGTAGAAAGGAAATGGGTACCTAATTAAATAGTCAAAGTTTGCCCCCCCTCCAAATTGAAAAAGCCCCAATTCCAAGAGACTTTGTAAATAAAATAGTTGTAGGTTACCATGAGATGAAACTATTTATGAAGTTTGAGGCGGATGTCAATATTTCGATAAAAAGGGGGCTGTACCACGGACTATAGACTATTCTCATTGATGTTGCCTAATAGGACTTAAATGTTGAATTTTTAAAATACTTCAAATATTTCTAACAAATTTATTTTAAATAGTTAACTCTTTATCATTGTAAGAAGTAATAAAAAATGACTCAATATAAAGTATGAAAGAATGTGATAATTGACTAAAGGAGGAAAAAAAAAAAAGGAACCTTAATGTCTCGTACCAATAATTTCAATATCAAAAATAAAAAAACCAAATCTGGCAAACTATCTATCCAAGAGATTTGGTAGAAAAACAAACAATTGTTGAAGGAAATGAAAAAATCCTATTATAATGTAAGAATTTACAAACCCCCCAAAAATAAAAAATTGAAACCCATGCACAAACTCCATGCATTCCTACCCAAGAACTGAGACGATATCCAAATGAAAAAACTAAAAAATCTGGGTGATATGCGTAGTTGTTTCTCTACCTCCTCTTTAACGTTCCATCAAAAAGGAATAAAACTCAATGAAAAAGAACTTTCAGCCAATTTGATATTTCTTCTTCTCTTGAACATTGGCAGAAAACCCGTTGATAGTGGATTAAATAAGCAAAGGACTGTTTGAATTCACAATGTTTTTATGTTTTATCTCTGCACTAAAGTTGGCTGAAAGGATTTATTTTTATTGAGTTTCATAAAAGTATTCATTTTGAGAGAATGTTTAAGTGGAGTTGAAAGAATTACAGTGCATACCATCCACATATCTTCCTTATACCAAAGATTGATATGAAAACTTGTATCTCAACCTGTTATCAAACAAAGCAAGGTTTAGGCTTTGGAAGCAAACAAACATACTGGAGCTGGAGTCTATGCCAAGGAATTTTGAATTGCGCCCATTCAGAAAGGCAGCCACAAATTTGATGGAGAAGTAAGAGCCATTCTTTTGGCCTTTGAAAGATTAATAGAACTGTCAGCCATGAGTTGTTTTGTTTATTGGCTCACAGGCAGCAATTCTATTCCTTCAAACTAGCTCTTATTTTTGCTTTGTTTCTTGTACTTATGAAATTTCTTTGCTATTATTCTTTTTTTGAAATTTGGTTATACAATCCGTTTTTTTGTTCCAGGGTCCAGGTGGTAAGAATAAAAACTGAAACATTTAGTTTGTAAATATGACTTTGTAAAAAGTGTTTTACATTATCCAAGTGTACAAAATCTTTTATTACTTTTAAGTTAATCAGTTAGGACTGACATAGCATGTGTGAGGATGTGATAATTTATTTTTTAAATTGACTTTCATGTTAAACATAGTTTTATATTATGTCATCATAGTGGATCTTAATGAAATATTCTAAAGAAGTTCTGTTTGGTAGTTTTATGTTGAATATAGAACTTAATTTTTTAAAACCTAATTTGTTAAATCTGTACATAATTAAAAAAATCATGTGTGCAATGATTATGTTTTCGCTCTGTAGACTGGGTAGAAAGATTAAATAAAGGCTGTTTTAAATAAGACTGACTTTTTATTTTTTAAGTTTGTACATAATGAGCTATAGCATAAGCCATGGCAGTATTTACCTAATCTATATAAGAATTACGTATTAAAACAATGCAAAAAACAAAAATGCAGGTAATAATACAAAATTTTAAATAAATAAATAAAGCTCTTTTATGACTAGTATAATATGGTCTGGTTTTTATATAGTTGTATGGACTTATATCCATTGGGTTGATGTTTTAATGATGCTGGTGTTACAACCACTTCAAGTTCTTGCATTTGTGTCAGGCGTTGAACATCTTTATCTTTACGTAACATTGTGTTAGGCAATTTTCTAATACGAAGAACCTGGGAAGCATTAAGTCCTAGCTCTTCACAGCACACTCGCAACAATGAGTAATAAGTCAACTCATTCCGAGGTAGTTCAATTTCAATGAAGTCTGGATCTCCATTACCCACTCTCACCTTCAGCACCAATTCTGTAAAAAAGATACAAGAATTTTCATGATTTTTTTTTTGTAAAGTTACACCAAAAATGCTCAATCCATAAAGAGTTAAAGAGATAATCCATAAAGCAATTATAGGTTGACAATTCACAAAGTAAATACGATCACTTAAGCAGAACCAATGCGGTTCATATATTATTAAGCTATCTTATAAATAAGAAAAATATGGCCCAAATTTTTAAACCCAAAATCAGTAGCATTCATATTAAAGACAAAACTCTCTAAAAATTAATTTATATATTGACTTATTAAATTATATTAATACTAAAAATAAAACTCTCCACTGACCAGTCATACAACCCATCTGAAGAAATGTTTCAGGATGTCCAGCTTATGGAAATCGTATGAGAAAATTTTCTCATGTACATGAATTTTTCTATAATTCTATAATTTTTCTATAAAAAAATATATGTTCATTTTCTATAATTATACATATTTAAAAGCTATTCATTCATTGCATTAATTAACAGTAGTTAAAAAAAAAAAGAAAGGGGGAAGAAAGGCCGAGCGCTAACCAATGGGTTGCTCCTCAAAAATATTTTGCTACCTAGACACTAGTGCTAGCAAATGGCTAATGATGGTAGATAACAATGGACTATACTATGAGTATTATTGTATTTTGTATCAAAGAAATAATAATACAAATATTTGGTTGAAAAACGGTCATGTCTAAAAATAAAATCTGGCATATGAAGTCGTAGACGTTAATGAAAAAAATGACTATTTTTATATCATTTGATTCATATCTCAGGTTGCCGGGCAACGGTGGTGCTGTGCACACGCGTTAGCCCATTCGGCTACCCCGCCCACATGCAAGATGTAAATGTAAATGTAAGGGTATCTAGATGTAATGAGATGCTCTGTCCTGACTGTCCCACTCACATAAGAAACAATAGTACTTAGTATATCCCTGTTGCATGCCTATAAGAATTACCACCACTTTACCAATCCTTCTGAGATGCCTGAGGCTGCCCGAAGGCTACAAGAGGACATCGACTGCATCAACAGATGGCCAGAAATAAATGAATTAAAGCTGAATGCAGATAAAAACCAAGGCTATTCTCATCGGGTCCAGACATCTCATTAGCTCCCTTCCTTACTTTCCTCTACTTAACCTCAATAACAGTCCCATCCATTTTTTCCCAACAGTCAAAAACATAGGAGTAACCTTTGACCAGAATCTCTCCTGGAATAACTATATTTCCCAGATTACCCGAAAATCCGTAACTTCCCTTAAACAACTCCTTCATTATCCTCATCCCCATTCAAGTCATGGTGATGGTGTTCAGGAGGCCTTGGAACAGGCAATTCGTCTCTGTGTGGTATTGGCCCTATAGCAGAAGGAATGTAGGAATGTGAAGGGTACTTCACGTCAGATTTCTTTTTTCGAGGCATTCCATGATGAAGAGTAGAGGTCATGAAAAAGTAGCAGTTGTCACTATGATTAATAGGCTCCCTCCACAAAAAGTGAACAGCAAAGCACATTGAATGACCTTTCTTGTTCAACCATTCTCTTAAGGTTACGCTACACATGATGCAGCAGATGAGCAGGGCGCACAGTTTATCTTGGTCACCAACCTTCACCACAAAATACTTGTGGTATGCAGTCTTGATCATCTGGGAGATACGACTTGCAAAGATTTTGGACCTGCAAAGGTTATTAGGTTGCAAAGGAAATTTCCCCATTTTACGCCAAAAGACCAAATAATAAAATATTTCAAAATGATATCTAAGTGGATTTTTAAGATAGAATGGAATGTTATAGCATCTTTTTCACTGAAATAACCTTACTGGATATACAACTATACCTAATCGATTTTACATTTGGTTACAATTTCCTTCAAAAAGACATTACATTAATATAAAATTAAATGGTCTTAATATCAGCTAAGTCTTATCCTCATACAAATAGCCTGGAAAGGTTTAAATGCCAAATTCAAAATAGCTTTTTTTAAATATCTTTAATTAATAATTAAGTCTCTCTTAAGTCTTTGTTAGTAGTAATAAGAAGTGGATAAAAATAAACTCTAAAAGAATTACATAATTCATTAAAACAGATTAGAAGTAAAAACAATTGTTTGGCAATAAGAACAATATATATTGTCGGTTTATAGCAAAAAGTCACAAAGTGCATTTTTGATATAAGTTAACTTCCAAATATATTTCTGTGAATTTTGACCTTATTAATCTATAAAAAAAAAACACTGTAATTGTATGAAAATGACACAAACCCTTTTAATTATCTTATATAGTTACAATAAATGTGCAATTTTCACATAGGAAAAATTCATCAGTTATTAATTATTTGAGGTCATGAAATGTCACTTAATTACTTTTTGCAATAAACTGACTATATGTTTAATATGTCATCAGAAATCTGATGATTTAAAAAAAAAAAAATTCGTAAAACCAATAATATTTAATGGAGACTAAATGTTTCCACAGAAGATATATGAAATTTCCAAAACTAAATGAAAATAAAATTATTTTTAAGCTAGGCAAAACAAAAGCATATAATGCTGTAAGTGCTATAAATCAAATTATTGTTCTGGAATTGTTGATGAATTACTTTTGTTAAAGAAGTACTTCCCGCTGAAAATCTTTTAAGCTGTGAAACCATATGTTAATAACATTAAATAACTTAATTAAATATTTTCTAGCCCGGCAAGTGGGCCTTTCTGTCAACCCTTCAAGGTTATCTAGACATTGGCACTGACTGTGTATCAACCAGAGCAGGAGTGAGACCATTTTTTGGGGTAATCAAGAATAAATATTAACTGATTTAGATGGAAATTGAACCCATAATGTTTTAAACCAGGCACTAAAAGATCCTCACCCAACATGTTGGGCTTTCAAGTCCTTTAAATAAGACAGTAAGTAAAAGTAGTCTGATGCTCACAAGCCACATCATAGTTTTTATTTTTCAACAAGGAAAATTAATTTTTAAAAAACAACTTAGATTGCAACTAATAAATAAACAAATTGAAATAATAACAGATTAAAAAAGAACTAGGGTGTTGTAAGGGGAATGGCTATGGACTACCTAATACTTAGTGAGTGATACTAGAAGAATGATCCAAAAATAGATAAAAGACTTAGAAACTACAATACTCTGTAAATATCATTAATGCATATTATCATACTAAATAATTTTCAAATAACCGAACCACAGAATGATCTAGAAAAAATATGGATATTAATACCTTCATTTTCCATCATTTAATATCCAAAAGAAACACACATCTGATGAAAAATAAGATTCAGAAACTAATAACAGCAAGTACCATATGTTCAGCTGAATATACAAATAAGTCATCTGCTTGATAGAAGGTTATAAAACAAAATGTGAGGTACCTTGAAATTTACAATAAATTCAAATTTAAAATGATTAAGAAGTATAGATAAAAGATAAATTTTACTAAAAAATAAACATATTTGTATTAAATTTATAGGAGCTGCCATTATAAATCCTATATTTATGCCATTGGCAAATTATTACTTAAAAAAAATAAATGTTTTTTTAAAGTACAGTAAAAAGGGGAAGGGGGGAACTTAATCAAGCTGTGATGAGACTGACTGCAGAGTTGGGCAAAAATTAATTGTAACTAACAGATAAAACTAACTTAATTGTAATTTCTTTGATATACATCCAAATAGTTAGATGTTATTCATAAGTAGACAAATGATACCTGTAATTAAAGTTAATATTCAAAATGGGCAACCAATTATTTTTTAGCTATGAAAATTTAGTTGCGATGCCAACTACACCTAAAGTTATATTGATAGTTGCCAAGTAACAGATAATTTTTTTTTGTCTACAACCTTTAAGCAACTAATGAAAATAGACTATGGGATGGACTAGAGTAAACATTTTCCCAATTTCCATTAACTTTTCCTCTTTTATCTCTGGAAAGAATGATAGTTTTTTTTAAGTTCAATTTATTTTTATTAACTATATAAAACACTCGTGATTAATACTTATTTTTCAACTTAAATTTTTAAAATTTTACATATAATGAGGTTGCTTTTGATAAGAAAAGATTAATTAAATATCTTAAGAGGGGGTATAAGAAATTGCTTTGGGGAGGAGGGAGACAGCTGTAATGCACACAAAATAATGCTATGGTAAACTGTATAGCTTAATTCAAATGCAATGCTACATTTAATATACTTATTAAATATTCTAAATTTAAGATATTGAAATTGAATTAAAAAAAAAAAACTCAAATTAAGGATGTACAATGCTATGATAAAACCAATTCTAATATATGGCTGTGAGACCTGAACACTAACCAGTGTCCTAGAAAAATTTATTGAAAGATGCATTTTTCTGAGATAAAACCGATCTGAAGGGATTGGGTTTGGACGGTGGAACGGTGGAGGGAGGTGTGTAATAAGCGATTGGTGGTGTCTGCATCGAACCTTCGGGTTCGCTAAGCCTTTTATTATTATTATTTCTGTGATAAAATTTTTTTTGCCAATATAAGATTTCTAATGAAGTAATGTTATGAGGAAAGCATTTTTTTTAAGAAAGTTTATTTTAAATTATGACAGTGTAAATGATTTATTAAATTGCAGGTAGAGTGATGTTTTGATAAAATGAGGAGAAAAAAAGACTATTTGAGGAGGTTTGAAGATAAAAAGAAAACATTTTATAATTAATTAAACAATTACTACCATTGAGTAATATTATATATATATATATATATATATATATATATATATATATATATATATATATATTAATATTCAAAAAATGTTTTTATGGCTGTTTGTTTTTGAAAATGGCTTTTTAGAGTTGAAACGTTAAATAATAATTCTAATATATTTAATTTTAAAAAAATGTGTTAATTGAGAAATAAAAAGTTGAGATTAAAAGGAATTTTTGTACCAATTTAATCATATATTGATTAAATATAATAATTTTATAAATTAATTAAAACACAGTTGTATAAGGAAATAGAGTGTGAAAAAAAACCTACAAATTAGATGAGTGGGAAAAACACAGAAATTAATTGTTTTACTTTTCACTCAGAAATCACTTACAACAAAGTTTCCTAATCACAAAATGAATTTTAGTTGAAAAATAAAGAAACTAGCAGCATAGTTCTAACTACAGACAACTTTTGAAAGTAATTGGCTGGAGATTTTAACTGCTATACAATGTAGTTGTACTTTATTTATGTTATTTTAATGAGAATTAGGCATAAAATTATATCATTTATTAGTAAAGATCTGTTCAATGTGTGTAACATATTTGAATTGACTATTTCAGAAACAACATATAAACATATAACAGAAACAAAGTCTGTAAGAACAATTACTATGGAAAATGGGGTTTTTGTGCTTTTCTGGTCAATCTTGTCCAGACGCATATTCTGCCCCATAAAATGAAATAATTTCTTTAAGGCGGTTTGTAAAAACTTGTAATTTGATAACCAGCAAATTATGATGTAAAAAACTCTAAGTTATACGGAAGGTTATAGAGATTGTGTTGTTACCGAAAAAACATAATGAAATGTTCAATGAAAAGTGGTCATGTAAATAAAAAATGTATAAAGTGTTTTGCGCATAGACTACAGTATCAATCAGCTTTAATAATAGGCTAAAATTAATTTTTCTTATACGCTTTGTATCCTTTTTTAAAATTTCTAGTGGCACTTCCAGCCCAGCAATGCTGGACAAATGCCTGGGTTCCCCTGTTCTGGGCCAGCACTACTTAACATGGAACTAAACAAAGCAAAGAAGATAATGGTAACTGGGAATATAATATTAAACAGCCTTCAAAATCTCCTAGACACTGCAAAATGAACTCGACTGGAAAAATGCTATGTCACTGAATCACAGATAGTGAGAGACAAGGAATTGATTTCATTAATTGAAGAATTTAACACGAGACGAAAAAAGAACTCTAGTTTCATCTTTTTGAACCAATGAATCTTCGAAATCGCAAGAAGCTCAGAAACGAAGTGATTGACACAACAGTAGATTGCCCAGAACTTACCAAGCATTCATGAATCCAACCGTGTCCATATGAAGTTGAGTAAGTTAAAAATGAATCTTTCATAAACTATTCCAAAATGGGTAGTCCACTCTGTTTAAGCTGCCCCTACAGCGGGAGACAAAAATGTGAATAACCTGTCAGATCAAATACTCACTTTCCATCCAAACTTTTATACAAATTTTCATTTCTTATTTCAAGTATTGTTTCTCTATATTTTGGAAACTGACTTTGTTCTTGTCATGCTTTGAACATTATTAACAAAGTTATGGGTGTTACTATAAAACAAAATATTTGATTGCTTTTACCTAAATAATACCTGTTTTTCAAAGTAACTAAAAAGCTATAAGTTAGAAGCAATGGCTCTACAAGATTTATGGCAGAAATACGACCAAAAAAGTTATATTGAGCATTAAATCTTTGTCTTAGGCCTGCAAAAGAAATTGAACTAAAAATATAATGCTAATAGAAAAAAATATATGCAGTTTTTTTCATCTCCTGAAAATTTTTAGTTTTGGTTCTTACAAGCTTTAGCAGTGTGGCTGTCGATAAGTTATATTTTCATAAAAACCACGAAAATCTATATTATGCTAAAATTTTAGAAGGTGAAAAACCTAAATATATATAATGTATAACAATTTTTACATTATTTATGTCAGTTTTTAGCAATGC